GCTCTGTTTCCAGGTACCGCCCTGCGACGTGTTTCAGCCGTCGCTTGGCGCTTGTCCCTTCCGACGCGTTGAGCGCGTTTCACCAGAAGTGCCGTCGGTCGGCCACTTCCAACAATCTCCATATACATGTAAACTTTCGATGTTCCAGGCATTTCTGGGGGGTTGCACACTGTAGGTTGGCGACAAAGAACACAAGCAAGCAATGAGCCGTTCTAAGTGGTCTAAGATGGTCAAGCCAGGTAGTCACGCAAGTTGCCGTCCAATCAATTCAGGAGCGTTCAGTGTGGACCCACAACGCCAAACAGCCACATATATCTTGGCCCGCGATCTCATTTGGTGTGAATTTTGAGCCTTGTTACAACACCCGTCTATGTACGTCCGTTGTGACCTTATAGTTTGCGTATGATAACAACATGATATATGGTCATTGTGTTAGAATGTCCTGATGATGTTCTGAGCAACGTGAAGACCTGCCATTTCGGTATCTGCTAATATGTGAAACCGACTCGCTTTCGAGTGATATTTCTCCAGTCGGGACCTGAACATTCCATGATGTTCTTCCATCAAGCCTCGCTTATCGATGAGCCTTCGCATGAACATATCGTCTTGCAAATGACACCGCAGACGTGCTTGCATCGTCGACAATTGCTAATCCGTTGCGAAGCACGACATGGCACTGCGGTATATCTGCACGAATCGCTGCACGATGGGATGCAGCAAGCTATTTTGCGCTAGTTTCGGATAATCTGCACACGTGTAACGCTTTGAGACTCTAGGCACGATTCGTGATGGAGACGGATTGCAAGCGCGGAACAACGGCCATTGTGCTTGGGAACTACGCGAGCGCGAAGTGCCTGCATGCGAAACCGCAGGCCTTCTCGTCGGCTGGCAGGACCACGCGCCATCTGAACAATTTGATGCCTTGCTTTGTCCTCTATCAGATGGCCTACCTTTCTGCTGCACGTCAACCCGAGCTCCCATCGCATCAACACATATCCTCTTTCCTCGCCTCATCCTGTCAGTGAGCCCATAACACGCATTATGGTAAACGTCAGCTCAAATTTCACCCTATTCCTTACAATATTGACAGGAGCTTATAGTCAACAGCCGATATAGAAGCTCAGCATGCGCCTGCTGAAATGGATGCCCATGATGCTGGTGTCAAGCGGACAGGTATGAGAGTATTTCAAAACGGAACTGCCCTAACTTCCGAATTTTGCGAACGTACTGCAGACAACGGAGAGAAAGAACATATCGATGATGGTGGTGCTGGTGGCTGGAGCAAGCTGAAACGAACCCGGTCTCACGTCGCGGAGAAGCCGAACGTCGGACCTGTCCGCAAGGATACCGTACAATCGGAAGATGCACGAGAGAAGCAAGTTCGGCGATCAGCCCTCGACACATCTACTTCATGGGCACGATGCGCTGAAGAGCTCTGGAAGCACGAGAAAGACGTCATACAAGATCTGAAGGAAGGGATAGACACTCTTCTTCTCTTCGTGCGTGTTCGGTTTGAACATATTCATACTTTGTCTAAGCTATCGATATTGCGATTAGGCGGGTCTGTTTTCAGCAGTTGTCACCGCATTCAATGTCGAATTTTACAAGACACTGCAACCCCAGCCGAAAGATTCTACTGCTCAGATCCTGATGCACATATCAGCACAGCTGAGCAGCTTTGCTGTCAATTCAGGTTCCATCAACTCCACGATACCTGGATACCCGGCGAGATACCCAGAATGCGTTTCCCATCTCGATATCGCTACGAATACACTCTGGTTCTCGGCATTAGTCATAAGCCTTGCGGCCGCGTCCATTGGGATCACGATAAAACAGTGGCTTAACAACCACGTAGCCGGTGTGCCATCGAACCCACGTCAGAGCGCGACTGCCTGGTACCTTCGCCACACTGGTTTTGATGAATGGCACGTGGAGGACATAGTGAACTTGATGCCGATTCTGCTGCAGCTTTCCTTGATGCTCTTCCTCATCGGTCTGGTACTGCAATTCTGGAAGACCAGCGCTGTGGTGGCTGGTATGGTTCTTGGGCAAATGGTCATACTGATGGCTTTCGCTTTCGGAACGGCCATCACTCCGTCCCTTAACCCTCATTCTCCCTACAAGTCTCCGATGTCCCGTGCATTCTATAAGCTATTCCGTGTCTGGAGAGGGAATTACGGAATGAGCGTGCGGCGGTTAAAGCGAACGTTTATGAAATGGCGTGTCCATTGGTCTTCCAACATGCCACCGATTGTCAGACAGTATACGTCCGATTTCAAGCCGATCGAGAACCTGCCCTTATGGGAAGATCGGGAAGACTTGGAGCTCACAGGTTTGGTCCCGAATATCGAACCTGTTGTGGTATTGGATGCTGCTTTCAAGACGTTGAAGGGTGATTTTCTGGACAGAGTGCTTCAGCCTTTCCTCCAACTTGCTCCTTTTGAAGTAGCGCTGGAAATCTTTAGGCATTACTGTGGTAAAGAGGTGAGCTGCCGCTCATGTGGAGTTTGGATGTCGTCACGCTGAATCGTGGTTGAAGGATGTGAGCTACACGCCGACGATAGGGTACATGGCTGTCGACATTCTGTCGAACCTCCATTCCAAAGAAGTCTCAATCTTCGATCGTAATCATCCCACTTTTCGTTCTGCAAAGATTTTTCCTACCCCGCTGTCGGAAGATCGTATACGCATCATCAAGTTTCTACAAGTCCAACTCAGCAATATGCCATCTGGGGAGCGCACATTATACGATCGTCTCATCGACTACTACGGCACCTTAACTGCTTCATCCGAGCATCGTTTGCAATTATTGCAGCTACTCACTTGCAATATCAAAGTTTTTCGATATGGCGAGGAACGTGAGCGCCTGTTCGCCGCTGCTATCCCCTTCCCCCCTGCTGATCAGTTCAACAGTCGCAGAGGAATGCTCCGTTTTAGGAAGAACAGCTGTCGAAATGCTTTCTGATGTTCTCAAAGTACAACCATCCAGCGCTCCCAGTGCTCATGCTGCACTTATTGACATTCTTGACTGTCTAAATCGATTGCTTAGGCTCATCCCTGCGAGCGATATGTCGGTGTATCTCAGTTTGGTGGATCTTTTGAGTGTCATCGACCTTCCAGATGATAACATGGCGCCAAATAGTGTCAAGAGACTCCTAGAATGTGTTTATACGTTCAGTACTGCTTTCAAGCCTGGTCGTGAAGGTGAAACTCATCTCGTTTCGTAGATATGGGACTCACAATGCTTCAGGAATCCCCACTTTGCTATCTCTTTTCACGAGATTACGTGAAAGGGATAGGGCCGACGAGGTCATTCTCCTGGTGAACGTAACTGGATGTATTCTGCGGCACCTGTGGCGGGCTCCCGTGTCGGACATTCGCTGCATTCAGGATACGATCTTGAACACTATATCCCTAGCTCATACTGATGAGGAAACAATTTTGGCACCGCATGCCGATGTTGAACCCTCTGGCGTCGGATACTGTGGAGATATTGAGTATCATGCCACACAACAATTCGACAAGGACTTGTGCGTCGTCGGTTCCAGTGAGTCCATTCCATGTTAATTGGCTCGAATAATTCCTGAGCATGAGGGTGGCTTGCAATTCGCGCTTACGAGACGGAACTGTGTCGCAACTGTCGTTGGATTCATTGATCCGTGCAATCGAAACGTTGTAAGTGCATTCGATGCATATAAACTGGGTGGATGATTCAAAAAAACGCTTGACAGAATTCAATTACCGGAATCCGTAGCAAGCAAAATCAATCGAGACAGAGAGCCCGGTATGTCGCATCGTCAATTGTTTGCAGAAGGCGCTAGTCTCTATGTCGAAATTTCCAGAGTCGTGGGTACTGGACAACACTTTTGAAGCCGCCAACCTACAGACTGTGTAGACTTTGCCGCGAACGCAACATCCCCGGATCGAGATGGTAATTAATAGGGATATCCAAGGTGGAATATGCATTTCGAGTAGATCACATAACATGTTGATGCACGATGTATAATGAAGACAGTGAGAAAACGATATCAACATAGTATCCAAGCCTGCAATGAGTTACGCATACGTGCTCTATCAGCATCCGAAATTGCGTGCTACTCTTTTCAGCGGAAGACTAGAGAGACGGCATCATTTCTGAACTATGCACTAGAACTAGGTGAATTTCTGCAAACGGGAGACCAGTTCGGCCATCGACAAACGCTGCGCGGGTTGCTTGCGCCAGCAGCTGGTAAGGATCTCCCATATCTCGTCCGTTAGTCCCATCGCGCTCTGAGGCCTTGAAGGATGCTGAGCACGGTAGAGAGCTTCGGAGACAGACATGTTATCCTCGAATTCCATATATGGAGGGTGTACTGTATAGCATTCAAGCATTGCCATCCCGAATGACCAGACGTCGCAGGCAGCGTTCGGCTCTAGCAGGCTGGTAAGAACGACCATTTCAGGCGCCATCCAGCGTGTCATCCCCGCTCCGTTCAGAATGAGCGCAACTCGTTTCTTGCTGATTTCTGCCATGACTTGTAACATGCCGTAGTCGGAGACACGCGCATCACCCTTGTGAGCGCATAACATTAGACATAGATTCGCATAATGAACTCAAACGCTACCTTCTCGTTGATCATAAAATTTGTCTATGAAGGGATTAACATCGTTGCTATCTAAGAACAAGTAACACGACTCACACATTTCACTGAGTAGAACAGGGGCCGTCAGCATCCTACTAATACAAAGGCCATAGAGATTCACCGTTGCCGTGAATGATGTTCTCATGATGAAGGTATCGTAAGCCTTTTGCGGCGCCCAAAAGCTAGACATACGATGACGTTAGGTAGCGTCCATGTCAGGTTAGAACTATTAAAGAGCTTACAAGTCGTGTTTTGTTATAATCAGGATTGTTCTTCGTAAACCTGATAGACATTCTGAACGTTTTTGACTGGCACTTTTCAGAAGCGCACGTACTCCAGTATGTTTCCGTACTCGCACCAAGGAGTCGCCTTCATATCAATGTAAATTATCAGCAAGCTCTGATCGTAGATCCAACTCACCATGTGTATGATGGGACCTAGATCTGTCACTATGCCGTAGAAAGGCAGAACATTGGGATCCTTCAGCTTCGCCCATTTTCTGGCTTCCTCCTCGTATCGCTATACCTTCGCTCAGTATGCTCTCTAAAAGCTAGTGTCGAATATGAACTGACAGCAATGGCTTCCTGAGACACGGTGATATCCTGCACACGTAAGACGATCTGGAAAATACGGGAAATGTAAGAAGGGATAGAAGAAGAGAGTCTCAACCAAACCTGTATCTTTCCAAGCCAGACTCCGCTCCACAATTCACTGTAACTGCCCCACACCAGAGGCCTGTCACCGAGTTTCTTCACTTGTCCATTCAAAATCTTGATAGTCGGTGGGATGCCAGTAAGACGGTGGAAGTTCACCAGCCTTTCTCGGAGTCCATCGTGCTCTTCCTTCGTTAAGCTCTCGTTCGCGACTTTCGTAGAATCTGCAGACTGAATGGGCAATCGTAGGAGCTATTGACCGCACTTATGAGATAGTACAACGACGTTGTAATCCTCGATGTTCTCGCACCAACTGACTTAGCTCCATCATTCGTTCTGCCGCCGGGTGACCTCGGTTATACAGCTCTGCAGCCTGTTGGATGAGTTCCCGCGATCGAAGAAATTGCTTGGTGAACTTGAAGAGTTCAGCTCGATGTCCCGCTATATACCTCTGCCATTCCTCTGCATCGTGTCGTGCGATGCGAACCAGCGGATTTCGTACATTGTCCAGGGAGATCGCAACCGCCATCTTCATATGACATTAGTCAACCGCAACTCTATAGAAGTATACTGCTATCACGTACTTCCCATTTGTCCAGAGCAGCGCCGACCTCCTCATTGCACTGTTCCAAGCCATATCCAACTTGTCCGCTTCGCCCTGCAACAAAACGTTAGCAAGTGCATTACAAATGTAGGCCGTACTTACAAAGCGCTTGTAAGATACCGTACTGAGACCATTCTCGAACACGAGGATAAACTGAAGTGAGAACCCTAATGATTGCTACATTAGATCGTACTTTGCTCAACAGTACTGGAGCCCTACTTTAGAATTTCGTCTAGCATCTCATCAAACTCCGCGGGAGTTACAAATCCAACGTTTTCCCTGAGCATAGAGAAAAGGGCGATAACGTCCGTAGTCAGTTGCTGAGCTTGCCTCTGCAATAAGAGCAGCTTTAGAATGAGGTGGAGACATCAACGGTCAACAATCACTGACCCTGTGTACAATGATATTAGCGCAGCATTCTCGTATCCCAGTCACCAACGTCGTTCCCTCAGACCCTCGGCTGGAAAGACGTTGCTCATTCGCAGTGCGGTCTGCATCCCTCGATGGAGTGGCTGGCTGGCTCATGGTTGGGTATATGAGGCGTGGCTGTGGGCTGGGAGACACATGGAACGACGATAACTCGTGAGAACAATAGGAAGCAGCAACTGATTGGCAGTGATCTCCGCTCAAAACGTGGAATGAGCGGACCCACAACCGTACACAGCAGCCATCATCGTAGACAATCGGAGCACCAACTTGGCGGTGACTGCGGTATTACATCGGTCCCGCATGTCTTGTGGGTCGATCCTGATGCTATTTTGAGTTCCATTTGCTTCAACACAACTCGGAGGAGTAATTGTTGAAATTGAGGTGCAGCGGTGACGATGTTCTCCCGTGGCTGGCAAATCCCGGATTCCGGATGTCTGGGACTCGAGTCATATAGCGACTCTGCAGCCACACTCGGTGGCAACCCTCTCTTGAAGGCGACGTTTGCAAACAGAGCAGCTCGACTTTTCGACCCATCGTCATTTTTTCCAAGAATTCCGTAAGATCAGAAAGGCAAGCTCACTGACTCACACCTCGTCTTCCCAGCGAGCTGCCTCGCTGCGTAGCTGCAATCTTCGAGTGGATTGTAAAGCGTCGTCGTCTTGAGTGGGGCCATGCGGTGCGTCAAGTCCTCAACGAGTCGTGCCGCCAGGCATCTGCCTGTGTATTCGGACGGCACACGAACACATGTACGCAATTATATCGACTAGTTAACTGAAGAGCAATATAATGGGCGTTCTAAGATGTTCTGATGATAGACGCAACAAAAAAGGCATCGTTCACGAGATATTCTATGCCGAAATACGCAAGCTCGTTCACAAAAACATCGATGCAATTCAATTGGGTTTCATCATTCCCTAAACAACACCATCGCTTGCGGATCGCACGTTGGACGAAATCTCTCTCCGTGGGCCATCTTCCTTCAGCAGAATGTCCTGCAGAATGAATAACATCAGCATATTATTTGCACCCCAAGATACTTATACGTACGTGTTCAAAGATTTTCGCGGGCAGTGCGAGCATTACACAAGCGTTTGGGGTATCCTGCGCATCGTCGTGGCGATCAGTGATCATTCGAGAGCATGATATGAACCAGCATTGAACCAGCAGATGTACGACAATAGCACCGACATGAGATTCCACAGGCGCATCGAAGTCAAGCAAGTTTGTACAGACACGTTATTACGATTCACAGCCAGTGGGAATCATATAGGTATTGACATGCTTGTTCTCTGGCTGAAACCAAGCGGTCACTGGACAACACGTCGATTTTTATCAGTGCTGCCTACATGCACTATGTCCGATCTGCGAGAGAATTGATAAATGCGGCGACGTCCATGGGATTATGGAGGAAGCTTACCTTCAACAGGTACGCAATGGCGTTAAGTACTGCTTGCTTGGACGTGACGATTCTATGTTTGAGATGCCACACTCGTGCTGGGTCCGTGCTATACGTGAGGTATTCACACGTCCATGTCCACATCGTATTGCTCGTGATCTCCGTCTGTATCAAGGAATGGTCATGTACAACAATCGACGCTGATTCCTTCACAATGAGCTGATGGGAGACATCAATCATAGTCGGAGCCAAATGGGAGGATGACGAGAGACGTACCTTCGTTGAGTACTGAGCGTTAACTTAATAAGGCTAGCGAATGCGAAGCATCTGGTTTTGCCATACGATCCCGAGAGATCGAGCTGTTTCATGGCAAACTTCTCGACACCATCCTTGATGATGTTATACTGAATGTAATGATATCGCCCAAATGGCATTATCGCAATCCTATCAGATTGTTCTGTCGGATGCCACATAGATGTCGATCGTTTCACAGTAATAGATCTAAGCGCATGCGGCAACCTCTCGCTGGTGATCTTGAAAATAAAATGCTTGCTTCACTCTATGCTGAAAAGGCGATCAATAACAAAATGGAAGCTAGTAGTGGCAAGACAATCACTCACCCTGAAAGGACTCGGAGTGGAGGTCGCAAACAGGTATTCTCGTCCTTCATAGACACCGGAAGTAGCACCACAAGCCTGTAATGACGTCTGTCAGCTTCAACATCCAATACAGAGAGTTGTGGCTCACTCACTTTGACAGATTTTCAATCTAGAAGAATCCAGAGGTTATTGGCTCACACACAGACGTTGCTCTTACTCACAATTTCTACCATGCTCCCTCCCGAGCACGATGCCCACCACTTTCTGTGAATCCTCGCCCTATGAACATCGAGCAGGCTCTAATCGACGTCGCGAGGAATTCTGCTGATGGAGCAGTACCGTTGAGGCTTGGGTGCGAGACGCCTGCGAAGCGCACGCCACCCTACTACGCCACCGATGTGGCGCGATGTGGTGTTAGACGCCTGCATGAGAACGACCGACTCGACCGCGACAATGAAGTAAAGGAGAAAGTGTCGAGAGTGCAGCTGCTATTTGAAGAACGCTATTTCCAGCAGATCAAGTTCGTTCTCACAACTTAGTTCGTTGGGAACCTTTGCCGGAGCGCGAGGGGGCCCCGGCCGATATGCGACCTGCACGCCGTTTTCGGTTCGAGCGTGGGTCGTATCTCTCCCACCATCCATCGGATGATTCAATTATCCGTCGACGCTCTTCCAAGGTATCGCGCAAAATATATAACGCGCAATGACTTTCCTCGGCGTGCTGTTCCTCTTCGTATCTCTATCGGTCCGCAATCAGTGCTGGAGACGCCATGGCTCAACAAGCGACGGCGCGCATTCTGATCTACTCTGCCACCCGCGGTTATCGACATGACTCTATTCCTACGTCGATCGAGGCATTGCAGGCGAAGGCCGCTTCTATCAACGTCCAGTTCGATGCCACGGAAGATCAGTCATGGTTCACGAATAATCGCTTGAAGGAGTACGATGCGCTCTTGTTTCTGAACAACTCTGGTGAAAGTAAGACTACTCCCGGTAATGATTCGCGACGTCATGTTGAGTCGCAGTGCCCGTGGCTAGTCCTCGATGAGCCCGGCAAGGCTGCATTGCAGAAATACCTGGACTTCGGAGGCAACTTCATCGGCGTGCACTGCGCATCTGCTTGTCCTTACAATGATGAATTCTTCAAGAGAGAAGTCGGTGCGTAATTTGATTGGTGCGATCGGATACAGTAGATCGTACTGAACTTGCGATCAGGTGCCCTCTTTGACTATCATCCTGATATCTGCACGGCGGTACGTTAGCAGACCACGTACGTGTTCTGCTTGTCTGATCCAGTACGTTGAGTATCAGGTCTATGAAGTCGCCGGCCCTTCGCATCCTAGTACGAGTATGCTGCCTGCCCGCTGGGAGCTATACGATGAGGCGTAAGCCAATCATCAACATCCGTTATGCGGACGTAACAATTGTGCGATCAGGTACAATTTCATGTCCGATCCGCGCGAAGTCGGCGCAACGGTAGTGCTCACGGTCGACGAGTCCAGCTACAAAGGCAAGCACCCTGCAGGAATCGATGCAATCTTTAACTGATCCAGTAGCGCAGACACCGGAGAGAGAAAGTATAATCACGGGACCCCACACCCCACTGGTGAGTAGGCCTACAGCTTTATCGGGCACTCATGTGACGAAATTTTGTCAGCGTGGTTCCAGGAACGCGGAGCCGGTGTACAAGCTGGCGGGATTGCTGGTCGTAGCTTCTACACTAGCCTTGGGCACTGCATCGAGACATGGCAGGTAAGCAACGGCCTGAAATATGAATTCGTGAGTCCTAACATGGCTGCAGAATGAGGTTTTCCTTGCGCATGTCTTGGGCGGTATCCAATGGGCCATTCAGTCGGGTACGACGAAGGCGTTCAACCCTAATGCTTTGGTGGGAAACTCTGCCGCTACCTCAACCTGATTGCGGTTCATCCGCATCCTTAACGAGCCTCTATCCACTGCGGTCGGCGCTCATGTACCATTATCGTCTCACTACCATCTTTTTCCCGGATGTGCTCCGTCTGTACTACACTTTCCACTTGATTGATGCTACACGAGTGTTCGGCCTGCCATCAGCAGTTCGCATTAAGAATGAATGCGAATGTCCATCTGTTTGCGCTGAGATACGACTTTGTCTTGAATGATATGGTCTGAACTTTGAAGTTAGAACTTAGGACGCGTCCTTCGTCACGCAGACGCGTCGCGCTAAATACATGTCCATGTCCACGTGATCGAGAAACTTGGGCGGCAAATTGACGTCTGCCAGCTCTGGTTTTCTCCATTCCTTTACCATTCACTACTCTTTCCCGAAGATCTCAGCCTTAATCCACACTCGCGGGAGCTTCATATCGTCACATTCCGTGAAGAGAACTCGGCGGAAATGTCATGTGGCAACCCTACGGTCGAGACCGATGCTCTCATGCCCAGTGAGTGCCGCCCAGTTCTGCAAAGTGACAGGAATCAAAGTGACCTCTGCCATTTCAGAGAAAAAGCGGTATGACAAGACCAAGCAATGCGTGCGATGTAAAGTCGTGGAGGGGAACATCGTCATCCGTCACGCCGTCTACTGCAAGTACGCCCTCACGCATACCCACATCTCCTAAGGCTAACACTCCTCAACACTCCTCAGAGAATGTTTCTTCCCGCTCATGACCCACAAGTTCCGCCGTTCACTAGAGCCACACGTCAATCTGAAGCCTGACGGCCCACGGCGGACTGCCCTCAAGCCCTCAGGGAATCTAATGGTCGGCATCTCGGGCGGGCTGGGATCGACGGTGCTACTGGACTTGGTTCATCGATGCTACATCGCGATGGACCAGAGCACGATGCCGGAGGATGGAGGCGCGCAGCATCCACGCCATGAGCGGGTATGGAAGAAGGTTGCCGCATGTTATGTGGAGATCTGCGATGCGTTCCCGGAGGTGAGTCGTGCAAGCTCTCAATGCACCCTACCTGTGACCGATGCGGACGTTATGGCTGACTTTTTCGAAGTAGATCGAGGATCGCACGGCTGATGTCGAGCAGCTCGTTGAGAGATATAGTGAGATTGAGTTCATACCATTGCGATTGCAGGATGCCTTCGATCGCAGGTGGTGGGAGCGGATACAGTATAAGGCGGAGTCGATCAACGCTGCCATTGACTTGACGGATGAAGGTGGGCAGTGCCGCTTCTTAATATATGCGTACGCTCAAGCTGCTCGTGTTAGAGCTCCTCCTGGTGCCGCACTTGGCGTCCATTTCCTCGACTGAGGACCCAGTACAAGCGTTACGGATATATCTCGCATCTTTACCTACCGCTACAGCCGTGTCAAGCACTGTGAAGACCATCACGCGTCTTCTTTTGCAATTCACAGCATGGGAGACGGGCTCTTCGCACCTAGTCCTTGGGACGTCTCTGACGAGCCTGGCAATGTCTCTCATATCGAGCGTCTCGCAGGGCGCTGGGTTCAATATCAAGGAAGAGATGCAGGAGGAGTGGGCGCCGGACAGCGGGGCGCGAGGTGAGGCTGGTAGGAAGCGGACTGTCAGGGTGATCAGGCCACTGCGCGATATGGGCAGGAAGGAGTGTGCGATGTGGGCGTGGTGGATGGGTTTGAGTATTGTTGGAAAGGCGCCGTGGCCTTGGTTGAGTTCTAGGCAAGATATTGGCGCACTAACGCGAGGTCTGTATGACTCCAAATAGACTCGAGTGCTCTGCTCATGATCGTTTTGTGTAGATTTCATTGGTGGGCTTGAGAAGGACTATCCATCGACGGTGTCGACCATTGTTAGGACATGTACGAAGGTGGCACCGAAGGGCGAATCTTCTGGGATTTGTGTCCTATGTGCACGGTACGAATCTCTTCCGTTTTCTTAGTATTACAGTCACTAATGACGCGACTAGACCCATCCAGGCGGGCGTTCAAGAGTGGAAGTCGCGAATATCGATCCGATCGCGCTCGCCACCATCCAATCCGCACGAAACGGAGAAGGGACTGTCCTTGACGCCATTCCTATGCTATGCTTGTCACACAACGCTCACCAGCAAGAGCAGTCGACCTACTCCGTCGCTCGACACCTCGATGACGAAGCCATCTGCGGTGCCACTGCCGACATGGGTGGGGCCTCAACTCTCCCAGCGCGACGAGGTATTCAGGGCTGCCAGGATGGGGAAGGAGAGAATGCAAGGCGTCGTGCAGGACTTCTTGCTCGACGATGGCTAGACATATGCTCAAGTCCGGCGGTAGGATAGATGAGTTCGTAGGCGCTCCCTTCAGAGTCATTCTACATTTGGGAGTCGTTGGATGGTCTTCGTGGAAGCATCTGCATGTAATACACCGGCTGATCGGTTAATGAGAGGTTGCCCTTGTCTTCTTCAGGCCCCATGTTAGTAGGATGAGTGCAGTGCTGATGAACGTCGCTGAGCCACCTCAAGTCAGAGTGACTCACTGCCCTGCCACGGCAGACGGATGTATAAGAGCAAGGGTTGTGCACTAGACTGAGCGTCCATAAATCATAAACGTAAACTGCGAGAGGGCTCGGGTGCTTTCCTGCATATAAACTTAGCCCTTGGCGCGCCACTTGACCGCTTCGCTCTCGCCTCGCATGACTGTCCTCTCGGATCAGGTTGATCCCGCAAGTGGCGATGTACAACTTCGTACATATGATGCGAGCAACAAACCGCCTCCCTTCGGACATGCCATCAAGCCCTATTGGGCGTTCGACAAGGACTATGTCAATCTGAACCATGGTCAGTGCTTCTTTTCGATGTAGCAGTGTTCTTGCTAGATGTACGTACGTATGCGGGCTTTCTGTATCTCAGCGGATATGTTCAATAGACCAGATCTACCGGTGACAGCGTGTGTGTATGGTCGCTGATGAACGTGCCTCACAGGATCATACGGGTCTGCGCCGCTGCCCGTCTTGTTCAAATGCCAGGAGCTCACGGTGCTCGCGGAGCGGAACCCTGACAAATTCCATCGCTTCACATACATGCCGCTCTTGGAAGAAGCAAGGTTCGTCTGTATGTTGCTCACTCAAAGACTTGTTGTATGCTGAAAAATACAATAAATGCTTTAGGCAGCACGTAGCAGACATCGTCGGTGCCAACGTAGATGAGATCGTGCTGGTTCCTAACGCAACGCACGGAATCAATACTGTGCTCAGAAACCTCGAATGGCGCGAAGGCGATGTCATCCTTGGAGGTGCGGCACTTAAAAAGATTTTCATGACCCCTCCGTGCTCACGAATCTATCCTATTTATCTCCTCTATAGCGGCTACGTCATACGGCGCAGTGTCCCGAACCATCCGCTACCTCGCGGACCGCAGCGAGCAGCCGCGGCCCCTCGCGCTTGCCATCGAGTACACCTTCCCCATGACCCACGCAGAGATCCTCGACAAGTTCCGCGCCCGCATTAAAGAAATCAAGAACACATACCCCAACGTCGAGTTCACTGACTACCCATCCGACTCTCCGATGTACGCTGACGGCGCGGAAAAGAAGAACAAATTCGTCGCAGTCATCGACAGCATCACGTCCAACCCCGGCGTGCTCATGCCGTGGAAGGAAATGGTGCGCGTCTGCAAGGAGGAAGGCGTGTGGAGCGTCATCGATGGTGCGCATAGCATCGGCCAGGAGGTAATTCGCTTTGATGTACTTCCAAAAACAGTCCACATAACAGTGTTAAATTATACAGATGAATCTGAACCTAAGCACTGAGGCTAAGCCTGATTTCTTCATCTCGAACTGCCACAAGTGGTTCTACACCAAGAGAGGATGCGCGCTGTTCTATGTGCCCAAGCGGTAAGTCGTCCCACGGCTTGAACCTGCTCACTGTATACGTCTAGCTGAGATCCTGCCTTTCAGTAACCAGCATTTGATCAAGTCGTCGATACCGACGTCGCATGAGTACGTATCGCCGAACGATCCAAACTCGCCTGCGCCAGCGGACACGCACTTTGTTAAACAGCACGAATGTACGTGCTGAAATACCTCATCGCGCCTCGCAAACAACGACGAGTTTGCCATTTCCGCTTAGGGACTGGCACGACGGACGAGGTCCCGTTCCTGAGCGTCACGGCTGGTGAGCAGATCTAGGGCAAGCACAGTCGGCCGAGCTGACCATATCGGTCCCCAGCTGTGGAGTTCCGCAAGTGGCTCGGCGGCGAGGCTGCTATCAACACATACTGCCATCAACTTGCATTAGATGGCGGCAAGAGGCTGGCAGAAGTGCTGGGCACCAAGGTCCTCGACGAGACTGGTCAACTGACACTCAGCATGGTCAGTTTCTACAATCCCTTCATTATCTCGAACTCAAACCGATTACTTTGCGCGCCAGACTAATGTCCTCCTTCCACTCCCCGTGGAGGAAACCATGGGCGAGGTATACAGCAAGGAGGTCCTGTACAAGATCTATGGCATTCTGCGCGAGAAGCAGCTGTACGAGTGGAACACCTACGCCGCGCATTATTTCCACGCAGGAGGCTGGTGGTGCCGGTGCAGTGCGCAGGTGTGGAATGAGGTACATGACCGGCAACTACGTCCCGATGCCGTATCACGTATCTAACGCCAATGCAGATCTCGGACTTCGAGTATCTGGGCAAGGCGTTCAACGCCATCTGCAAGGATATCAAGGAGACAGTTTTGGCGGAGAAAAAGTGAGCATGCGGTGTTCTGCTAATCAGCTGACGCTCACGATGTAGAAATGGGTGTCACAATCTGCAGGTTGGAGACGAAGACAGGTGGAAGGCGGATATATTCAAATTAGACAAATTAAGCTAGAAGCAACCGTGTAGCAGGGGAACAAAAGCAACGTGCAGGGTATCACAGGGGTGTCTGCGCGAAAAACAGCATTTTGAAATATACATGCATCCGGCGGACGTGGTGTCCCTTCAATAAATCCCAGGAATGAACTTGTACTTGACAATGGAGCAGTATTGGTCCCAATCCTTGCCGTACTTCAGCGCGCACCTATATAAGGTCATCAGCGTGAAAAGACGACGTGAACTAACGAGTCGGGGCTGACCTTTCGAAGTCTCTTCCGCATCGATGGATGAGCACGACAATGAAGAAGACGGAGTAGAAGTATGGAATAGCAGAGCAGGTGCCCACGACGAGACCCCACGTGAGACTCATGGTCCAATCGGCGACATAGTTCTAGACAAATCAGCTAGGATGTCCGGCGGTCTAAAGGATGGTGGTCATGCTTACCGGCTTGCGGGAGTATCTCCACCAACCATCTGTCAGCAGGCGGTTCCTACGGAACGCTGTCAGTAATGATCAAGGCTGCAGTCAGCGGTGATCACGTACCCATGCGCAGTCTGGATGAAGCTCGGATTCTTGAGCGTGCCCCAAGGAAGCTGCGGGAATGTCTTGCGATATGTGAAAACGCCTTGTGTCTGCATCTTGAAGCGACTCTTCTGCGACATGGACGTATCCCAACTGCACGCTCACACTTAGCGCGTGCTACGGACATCTCCACATGTTACAGGACTCACATGTAGTAAGCGGTAAGCAGAGTAGTATAGAGAAGCACATAGGTGGGGGTAGAGAAGCGATAGTTGGATGGGTCATGCGAAGCCATGTACACGACGGAATAGATGTATGACTGGACGGGATGTCAAAGCTTGTTCACCAAGCATGAAATATCAGCGCTCACGAAAGGAACGCCAGCAAAGTTCCAGAAGATAACCAAGAAGCCCCACCTGTATGAGCGTGATATTAGTAACTAATCACAGTCAACAGAGAAAAGAAAACCACAACATACTTCTCGTGGAACATATCCCAAGTCTGAGGAATACACTCCTCACCCTTGCCGCTGTTAATTTATGAGCTGCAAAATTCAGAAGTATAGCAGAGGAAATGCTCGCCATGCATTCAAATACAGCCAAGTCGCCAGAACCATGAAGGCCATGTTCTGAAAATGTCGATTAGCAGACGGACCGATGCATAGAGGTGAACGTACGGGTGTGACATAACCGTACTGCTCATACTGCTTGCAGGCGCCCGAGACGGACACGAAGAACACAATCACCCAGGGAATCCGGACTTCAAGCCACATCTTCAAGTCAACAGGACCAATGCGCGGGTTGAGGCATGCACCCATAAACACGTCGTAGATGAAGTTGCCGGACATTCGGATCTGGTTTCCGGTCGCGACTGTGATGAAGTACATGAAGAACGAGACGCCAAATCCGTAGATCATTGCGACCGTCATGAGGTGACCGAAGTTGTCGATAATCTCGGTCATGCGGAAGACGCCCGTGGTATGCAGGATGGCAGCGGTGATCATGGTGGTGTAAATGCACCAAATGGCGTTGCACTTATACATAAGTGTCTTGTATCCGAGGGAAGGAACAGGAAGTCCCTCTTGCATGTACCCGGGCATGACCATTGCAAGGAAGAGCTGGTAAACGATCAGGCCCGTATATACTTTCCAGGCGTACGCGTTCGGACTGGCATCCTGACCGAAATAAGCAACTGAACGAGAACAGCTAGCAAGAAATAGACTTACTTGACGGACGTGCTCCCACATCCGCAGAAGGAAGGGTTGGATATCCTCTACAGAGTTGGGACGCACCAGCTGGCCGTCATAATACACGAGACAAGTCCAAAAGTAGTACATCAGGATTGGGAAGCCAGTCATAATGGCCACTACACCCCAAGGTCCACCAAATTCGTATCTGCACAAAACATATCAGGAGGAGAAGCTCGACAGACCACGAAAGCCACTCACTCGACATGGCTGTCCAACAGTTGGTCAGTCTTTTTCCCTTCCTCAGTCGGTGTCTTGCCATTACCGTTGACTGCTACATTTCTCTTTCGCAAGCCTGAGGCCTGCTCATGTACCACAGCAGCCATGGCGAAGGGATGTGCGAGAACGACGAGTAAGTTGTCCACGTCGCACAGAGGGTGCTTCGAAGTCGGACGATTACTGGCATTTTCATCTCCGACGCGCGTGTGGGATCTCTGCCACCGACGCGTCCGCCTCTGCCAATCAGCGACCAGCGAAATTCAAGAGAGTTTGAAAGTCTCCCCCCCAAAAGGTATACAATAACAATTGTAGCACTAAAGGTAACTTAAATTAAATTAATGCCGAAGAAAGGTTCAAAATAGGCATTTCCGGTTGTTCTCTGCAAATCCCGTTCACTTATAGGGAAAGGCTTAATTACCGATTGGTGCTCTTTTCGCTGCGGAAGTTGCTCTACGTAGGTACAACTGCAAGTGTTTCGCTCATCTGAATCTCGCCAATCATTCCCTGAAGAAGGATAGAAGCTCAGCATGCCAGCAAATCGATTTGAACCGTCCTCTATCAAAAACAAGGTGAAGCGGGAAGAGGTTGCGCGGAGACACAAGAAGCAAAAGAGACAGGACAAACTTCAGCGCAGACTTGCGTTGGCCAAGGCCGAGGCGAACGATCCGGTGGCGAAGAAGGTGAGAGTTTCAAAGAAGCTCAAGTGCAACGTTGATGCTCATACACGGCAAAAGAGACGACGAGAGCAGAATGTTCCTCGGACGCTGGACAACACCCGTGAATTCGACCCTTCCATCCTGACGGCGGACCCCTCTGCATCTACTTCAGCTGCAATTCAACCCGAGGCCTCCACATCGTCTGTTCCTGCGGAGCACGGTCAAGCGCATCCTCCAGAACAGCAGCCGCAAGACGAATCGGCTGCCGACCTCGCCAACGACCCCTTCGCGGCGTACTTCTCTGGTGCCGCCGATCCAAGCGTGCCGCCCAAAGTTCTGATCACAACGTCACCAAAAGCTACCCGAGTCACGTACGATTTCTGCAATGAGCTTGTGAACGTGTTTCCCGGTGCGGAGTTCATCCGCCGTAAAAAGGGCAAGGGCTTCGAGATGGGCAGGATCGCGGGCTGGGCTGCAAATCGGGAGTACAGCCATCTCATGGTTGTAAATGAGGACATGAAGAAACCAAGTGCGCGATCCCTTTGTTGTCCGAGCATAACATGTTGCTGAAGGAAACAATTCGTAGATGCTATCACAGTAGTATATCTACCTGAGGGACCCACAGCCTACTTCAAATTGACATCTATCGAGATGCCGAAGAAGATTCATGTGAGTGCTTTATGTTCACTGCTTCTGTCATGATCTTCTCATGCAGCCTCTAAGGGACACGCCCGGCCGACCGATCACTTCCCAGAACTTGTTCTGAATGGTTTTGTCACCCGTCTCGGGCATACCGTCGGGCGTCTTTTCCAAACACTCTTCCCTCCCATGCCCGAGTTCCAAGGCAGACAGGTCGTTACACTGCACAATCAGCGAGATTTCTTGTTCTTCCGACGGCACCGGTACGTCATCTTCGACCTAGTCCTATACCCTCACTCCCTCTCACGCCACTCGTACTAGATACGCGTTCCGATCGACGGAGAAAGTCGCTCTACAAGAAATCGGCCCGCGCTTTACTCTCAAGCTGCGTTCTCTACGCAAGGGCCTTCCCGCTGTGAAGAACCTGGGTGAGCCGAGCAAGCCGCTCGAGTTTGACACGTTCCAAGAGGAGAGCACTTCTGCGGAGGATGTGCATATGGCCGATGTCGAGGGAACAGCGGAGGCACAAGCACAGGAGGGGTCAGACTCGCAGGATGGACAGCCATCACAACAGCAGAAAAACCCGAAGAAGGTGCTGCCTCCGACCGAGGACGAGTACCAATGGATATGGAAGGTTAATAACATTTTGGCTGCGTTGACATTCTGGCTGATCTGCTTGCTCTGCAGCCGGAGTTGGAGACTACGAGGCGCACGTTTTTCCTGTGACCGGACTCTTTTGCCTTGGCACCAACTCAACCATATTCGGCTGATGATGTCTGTAGCACCAGGTCTTCTCTGCTTCATTCTGTACTGTTCTGCGTTCTCTGTCGTCGGTGGTCTGGAAACGTTGATTGCCTGCCGCACAGGATGCTGTCCTTGAGTCAACAATCATCTTGCTTGGTACAGTGCATCTTTAACCTCAACACTTCACCATGATAGAGCTACAATGTTTTTGCTGGAATGGGAATTGCGAGTCCGGTCGCAGACGTCTCCTGTAAAAATTTGAAAGTTAACATCACTACTAGCATGGCCTGAGGATCTCTATGTTTCAAAATTTCGACCGTCGTGTCGAACATGCCTCGCCATGATCATTGATATTTATCAGCGGCCAGCTCATCATCATATTCGATAGCCAGAAGGGGTCGTCGCCCGGTCAGGACGCGACGGACATAACTAGATGATATGGTGGAGACGGGCGTAATAATAATGTGCCAGACGGCGAGGAGAACGCGCAGGAGTGGAAAGAAGGTAGGCACAAGAGTCGACCAATAGCAGTTTTGTGTCAGGTTGAGGTGGAACCCAAGAAATCGCGTACGGGCCAGAATCCGCTTCATCAGAGAAAGCATGCGAGGCACAGGTGCTAAAGCTGGCGCTGTGAATGAAGCTAAACCGAGAACTTGAATTCGCCGTGGCCTCGCAATCTCGACGGCATTTTTCGCATAGCGGAGGACAATGCTACAGAAGCGGAACACAGACTGGAGCATGCGACGGCTCGAAAGGCCAAGCATGCAATAGGGATGCACGAGGAGCAAGGCGAAGGACCGCATTGAGGTATGCGTGTCTAGCGTCTTCGTAACGGGCCCCTCGCGAGTGAGACCGGCGAATTTGTCAGGACATACATGGCATTATACCCATTAGTATATTATATACTCCCCTCATGACATGCTGGTTCGAATTTTGGTAGACCTACAAGTCACCTGCTGAACCTCAAGATTCTTCGTCAGTGTCAAGCTCATACGCTGGGGGAGGCAAGGCCATTGCTGCCGCTGCCAACACCCTTAGCCGTTCCACCTCCATCTGCAAGGCCTCGATCTGCCTTCTCGAATCCGTATCGCTATGCACCTGTACGTCGCCATGGGCATCAGACACAGGCCCGCCCACGGAGACGTTCCCGGAGTCGAATTGGCGCCGCTGAAGCTCGGCGACCTGCCGGTCCATGTCGCGCATGTGGCGCGCGAGCTCCTCGTATCGGACCGCAGATATATCCCTCTCGGCCTGGCGTGCCTGAGACGTCGTCATTCCATCTTTGTGAGTGGCAGCACGTGCCGTCGAGAGGAGCTCTGTGCTCGATATCCTGAAAGACGTCGTCTGGGGTGGGTCAAGCGACGGCCTTGCAGTCGTTTCGGGCACATCTGAATTCTCGAAAGCGATGTTACGCCTCGACGTGACAGTTATCGGGCTCGCACCTCCCGTGACGTCTCCTGGCGTTTCGAAATATGTAGCCTGGGGCGCGGACCAGGCTGATCTCGCAACTTCCTTTGGCGACGATGTCACAGTTGAATGCACGGGCTGATGAGTCGTCGGATAACCGAAGAATGGCTCCACACTAACGGCGGCCTGGCGTTCAAGGAGGCCTCGACGACGCGGGGCGCTGTCACTCATACTGCGGGACCTGACTGCTCCGCCTCTGCAGTAGTGACGCGTGTAGAAGAAGGCGAGCAGGCCAAGAACAAGGGCGCTGATGCCGCCGATTATACCTCCAGCTATCGCACCAGTGGGGCTCTTTGACGACTTTGATGAGGAGTGTGAGGTAAGAGCCGGTATGGAAGAACTTGTAAAAGAACTCGTTAGACGCAACGTGTATGGCTCATAGGTACGCGTCGAGGACTCAGTCTCAGAGTATGTGCTTGAACTAGTGTTCGATATGCTGAAGGTCGACGAAGATACGACTTCAGGCTCCGGATCGTACCTGGAAAGATTGCGTGAGATTAACACCAAGTAGCGAATGATGCAGCAGGAGACGAACGTATATTGCGCCCAGTCAAACAGCGCGACGGAAGCATCAATGTCGTTCCGCAGTGTCATCACCAACGTGTGGTCCTGGTTCTCCATCGATGTGTTGCTGTACACAGTGATATTGTAGGACATATAATCGTCGGATTGGTGGGAAAACGCTCCGACGTAGTCGCCATCCAGTTCAAAGGTCAGATTCACGAAAGTCACAACGTTCACCTGGGAGAATGGGATGATGCAATACACCCAGATTGCGGTACCTTTGGTTCATCAGCACAAGTATCTTGCCAAAACGTACGGAGAAGTGGAGTGTATACCATTAAACATCAGAGTGACATTGTAAGATGGATCCTCCGGATGTATCGTGGTGTCATGCCAAGTCTGGTCGAATGTCTCATCCTTTTCCGGGTGTATAGCGCACCCAGGACATTGAGGCCCATAATTCCAGCTTGGCTGGTAGATCGGCTGCAGACCTGAGACCGAGTCGCCGTACTCGTCATCGATCGTGAAATTGGTGGGTGTGGGTGACACGAGTGTCGCCATCAGGATGAAGGCTAGGTAGATAAAAAGAGACCTTCGCAGAGTAGGTGCGCCGGAACCCATCGCTGGTCGACTTGCAGTAACAGCTTAGTGGTGTGCTGGGCACTGAGAGGAGGAGAGACCCGGGCAATAACTGCATCACTCCATGGCTATGCACCTGTCAAAGACGGGATGACATCTAACGAGCTGAGCGGGGAGTTCCAGTGGCAGCGATGTTTGAAGCTTGGTTGAACGCAAAGTCCATCGCAACCACGAACAACCGCCTGGTTTCTACGTGAGCTTTCAGGGAAAGTGAAGTATAAAATCAAAGTGAAGACCTTGCTTACAGTCAAGCTCTCCTCGTGTCCCAGTCCGCCGATTGTCACGAAGCGAATCGTCAACGGAGGTCTTACATCTCCTGATAATCCGAAAGCATCGCCTTGCGTACGTCCAACTCATGGCTATGCTCCGAAGTGCTCAATTACTAATTGGAAGGGGAGCCGGGTAAAAATCTGAGCCTCACTGAATCTGGGCCTCACTGATGCCGCGCGGCGAGAACCTTCCTCGACATTGAGACGACTTCCGAGTCGGTATGCAGGCATCGGACCTAGTGGCAAGACATCTCAGAGCAATAGTAGAGAATGACCACTGTAACAGACATCCGCTGCCGGAGGACAGAGACCTCGTGGTGGTATGAAATCTCTGGGACTCAATAAGGGCGTTTCCAAACAGTGATTGCATTTCCCGCTAAGACAACCGCCCGTGACAGTGGACTCCGTGCAACAGAAGTTCGCACGCCGAAACTAAGACCATGCGCAGTTATGCACCATTTTTTGCTGTGTTGTGCTCCCAGACTTACAAGGGCCAGCTATTTGAACGAGCACAGAGGCGCCAATACTGCCGCCGACACCTTCAAGACTATCGCATCGACAGGTATCCGTGAGAAGTCTCTGGTGTACCGCTGGAGACCAGAGCGAGGGTGGAAGATTAACAGCTTGCCATACTTGACGAGTTCAGCTTATTGGTGAACATCTGAGGCCTTCACAGAGCGGTCTGCTTGCGATCCTCTACACGTCCCGAAACAGGGAGTTTTATTTTTGGGGGGGAAATGGTCTCGAGCAGAAGTTCCTCGGAATTTTATATTTCGCTACAGATGGACCGTTATATATGAGTCCGATGACAGATGCCGAACTCAAAATGAGTCCTTCGTGGTGTCTGTTGTTCGGTATGTGCATAGTCCATTTAGTGCTCACCGACCTGCCTCTGATCCAGCTACATATGCTGGGGGAGGTGCTTCAACCGCTGACATCTCCCTCAATTGTTCTAGTTCCATCTGTAAAATGTTGAGCATCCTCCTTATCTCCATCGGATCATCTTGGACTTGTGTATTGGCTGCATTGGGGCGTGAAGCGGGCCCATCCACGGCAACGTTCCCGGCCATCGATTGGCGGTTCCGCACCTCAGCAACTTGCGGCTCCGTGCCGCGCATCTTGTGCATCGGCTTCCCCACGTATCTAACCGCATTCTCCTCCTGTCTGGCTCTGCCTGCCCGGGAGGCCATTGGTGAACTCTCGGCAGTGGCGTTCGACGTGGCGATTACCGGTCTCGAAGCCTCCGCGACGTCGTCCGGCGTCCCGAAACGTGTTTCCTGGGGCGCGGACCGGGATGATATCACAACTTCCTTTGAGTGCGGTGTCATCATTGGATTCACGGGCTGAGAGGTTGTCGCGCAGGAAAAGAATGGCTTCACACTGATGGCGGGCTGGCTTTTAAAGAGACCTCGACGACGCGGGGTACTGTCACTCGTCGTGGGGGATTTGACTGTTCTGCCTCCGCAATAGTGACGCATGCAAAAGAAGCCGAGCAGGCCAAGAACAAGGACGCTGACGCCGCCGACCACACCTCCAGCTGTCGCACCAGTAGCGCTCTTTGACGACCCTGATGAGGAGTGTGAGGTAGAAGTCGGTATGGAGGAACTTGTAAAAGGGCTCGTTAGACGCGATGTGCTTGGCTCATAGGTGCGCGTCGAGGACTCAGAGTATGTGCTGGATTTAGCGCCCGGCGGCTTGAATGTCGACGAAGATATGCCGGAGGTCGACGAAGATACCGCTCCAGGCTCCGGATCGTATCTGCAAATATCATTCGAGATTAACACCAGGTAACAAGTAATGCGGCAGGAGACGAACGTATATTGCGCCCAGTCAAACAGCGCGACGGAAGCATTGATGTCGTTCCGCACTATCATCACCAACGTGTGCTCCCGGTTCTCCATCGATGTGTTACTGTACGCGGAGACATTGTAGAGCATATAGTCGTCTGATTGTTGGGAGAACACTCCGACGTAGTCGCCATCCAGTTCAAATGTCAGATTCACGAAAGTCGTAATGTACTCCTGGGAGTTTGGGATGATGCAATACACCCAGATTGCGGTACCTTTAGTTCATCAGCACAAGGGTCTTGCCAAAATGTATTGAGAAGCGGATTATATACCATTAAACGTCAGAGTGACATTGTGAGGTGGATCCCCCGGATGTATCGTGGTGTCATGCCAAGTCTGGTCGAATGTCTTATCCTTTTCCGGTTGTATAGCGCACCCAGGGCATTGAGGCCCATTATTCCAGCTCGGTTGGTAGATCGGCCGCATGCCAGAGACCGAGTCCCCATTCTCGTCATCAATCGTCGCAAAGGTGGGTGTGGGTGACACGAGTGTCGCCATCAGGATGAAGGCTAGGTAAATGAGAAGAGACCTTCGCAGAGTAGGTGCGCCGGAATCCATCGCTGGTCGACTTGCAGTAATAGCTTAGTGGTGCGCTGGGCACTGAGAGGAAGAGAGGCCCGGGCAATAACTGTATCACTCCATGGCTATGCACCTGTCAAAGACGGGATGACATCTAACGAGCTGAGCGGGGAGTTCCAGTGGCAGCGATGTTTGAAGCTTGGTTGCACGCAAAGTCCATCGCAACCACGAACAACTGCCTGTTTTCTACGTGAGCTTTCAGGGGAAGTGAAATACGAAATCAAAGTGAAGACCTTGCTTACAGTCAAACTCTACTGTTCTCGCGAACCATCAACAGCGGTCTCACATCTGCTTATGATCCGCAAGCATCGCCTTCTGTCGTTAAATTAGTCCAAATAATTATTATGCGCCGGGATTCTCAATTCTTAATTGGAAGAACAGCCGGGTAGCGGTCTGCGCCTCATTGATGCCGCGCAGCGTGAACCTTCCGAGGCATTGAGACGACTTGCGAGTCAGAGGGAGTAGTAACAGAAATCCGCTGCCGGAGGCCAGAGACCTCGTGGTGGTACGAATATGAAAACGCCACAAAGGGCGCTTCCAAATTGAACGATCGCGTTTCCCGCTACGACTCGTGACCGCCCGTGGCAGCGGACTCCGGGTCTGCACAGGCAGGACGATAGATTGATTACTGTTGCCATAGAAGTATGCACGTCGAAAGGATCACCGTACACAGCTATGCAGTTTTTTTAAAAATAAAAAATGAAACCTGCGTTGTGTTCCCAACCCTACTAGGACCAGCCATTTGAACGTTCGAGTGTGACCGCCTAGTAACCCTTCTTGAGCAGTCTATTCGGCTGCAGATGCCAACACTACATATATTACGATATCACCAATCATTTTCAAGGACGTGGGTTTGCTGAGGCAGTGTTTGTATAGCGGGTGTGCCATATACGTACTGCTCAGAGTCAGACTGCTGGTACTATGGGGAAGACTTGACCTCAGCCACCTTCAACCGACACAGTTCCATCTGCAAGGCATCAATTTGCCTCTTCAGCTCTGCCGGACTGACATGCGCTCGTGCGGAGGGTGCATCTTGAAGAGGTGTAGAGATGGGCCCATCCCCGGCAACGCTGTCGGGTCCCATCTCTTGACGTTGCAGCTCAGCAGCGTCGTGTATCTGGCGCATCGACTCCTCATATCGAGCTGTGTGTTTCTCCTGTCTTGCCGGCTTTGCCCGAGAGGCTGTTGATACGCTCTGAGCGGAAGTGGTCCGTATCGTCGTGGAGAGCATCGAACTCGGAGCGTCGGCTAAATCATTAGCCACCGGGTAGTGTGTAGTAGGGAAGTGTGTGATTGGGGATGTACCGGGGGACGGATGTATGAGTGCTTTGGGCAGCGTCGTCGCGATTGAGTACAGGGACGCTGGTTTAAAGGTCGTGGGAAGATCTACAGTTGACCCCAACTTGGCAACAGGTCCGCTTTCATCCAATTCCTGACCATGCGAATTCCCGCGAATCGTCTTGCGAACCCAGGCTGCCCCACGTCTGCGATGACACAGAAAGAGAATGAGCAGGCCGAGCACAAGGGCGCCGAGACCGCCGCAGACACCTCCGGCTATCGCATTGACAGGTGTTCGTGACGAGTCTGATGTACCGCTGGGGACGAGAACGGGTGTGGAAGATGAAGGGCTTATTATAATTGACGAACTCGGCTTATTTGCGGACGTCGATGGCATAGGGCGTGAGCTACCGGAACCAACTCTCGAACTGCTGCTGGTCGACGAAGTTCCTGCTTCAGCTTCGGGGTCTGAATCATATCTGCAAAGATTGTTCATGGTCACTTCTTCGTAAATAATGCAACAGACGACATACGTGTATTGCGCCCAGTCAAAGAGCACCACAGAAGCGTTCACGGCATGTTGCGGCGTCATGATCAAGGTATGCTCCCGGTTGTCCATCGATGTGTTACTGTATACGGTGATATTGTACACCATGGAGGCATTATTGAGCTCTGGCTCATGGGAGAACGTTTGAACATAGTCGCCGTCTAGTTCAAAGCTCAGATTGACGTAGGTCGTGACCGTGACGGCATCCACAAAGTTAGGGATGATACAATACACCCAGATTGCGGTACCTGTAATACGCCAGTGAATTGTTTGTTTAGAATCGATACAGGAGTGGAGTATATACCGTTGAAAGTGAGGGTGACGCTGGCAACTGGATCTGCTGGATGGGTCGTCGTGTCGTGCCAAGTCCGATCAAATACCAGTAACGTGTCGGGCTGGATGTAGCACCCAGAGCAGTGAGGACCGTAATTCCAACCGCCTTGGTAGAGCGGCATTAGCCCTGTGACCGAATCGCCATACTCGTCGTCGATTGTCCGATTTGTCGGTTTGAACGATGCGGGTCTCACCAGCAGGACGGAGACTATGCAGACGAGAAGAAGTTGTCGCAGTGGGATTTCGACGGAGCGCATTGCTGCCCTATGCGCTGCAGCAGTGGGAAGTACGATCGACGGTTGTGATGAATATAAAGAGGACGGTCGCGACCGTATTTTATCCGCCCAGCCGTGCAACTAAACATCTCCCAACCACGCCGTGGTCGCTGATGAGATGAGGGAGGAGCTCGATGACGACAAGATCTTGCATCGTCGTAGCCACGGCAAGCATGTGGATCTGAGCATGAATCAGCTTCAGCAAAAGCGCAACAGGAGACTGAACGTGGAGTAATTGCATACATTCGAACAATGTTAGGCCGATCGCTACCGGAGTCAGATATACAAAGGGAGGGACTACCGATTCATGAAGTTCTTCTCGCACACCCCCGTTCAAGATTGTCGCCGGTGGCACAGACCTCGCGATGACATCTGTTTTGGACAGTAAAGATTGCTGTCAGAACAAGTCGTCGGGACTGTCAGTCTTTGCCATTCATGATGAGCTAACAACTCAAGAGTGTATTTTTGAAGCTGAGCCGAGCCAAAATGCATCAATCAATGAAAGGAATTTGGTGAGAGCAACCAACAAGATGCATCGCAAAGATTGCACCAATTCCTGAGCTAATAAATGGATGTAGAATGGATAGCGAAGTTCGTAATGATTTCGACGCTGGTCTTGAGGCTTACGTAAGGGGAACATGCGCTACCACCGTGTGAATTCAAATAACCTTTCTGTTATTTGGAATGAGTCCGCTCACAGATGCCGAGGTAATAATGAGACTTTTGAAGTGTCTGTTGTGCGGTACGTGCCAGTGCTTCATCTATTTACTACTCGCCGCCCTGCCTCTGATCATGATTCAGTTACATATGCTGGGGGAGGTGCTTCAACTGCAGCCACTGATATCTCCCTCAACCGGTTTACTTCCATTTGTAAAGCGTTGAGCATCCTTCTTATCTCCGTCGAATCATCTCGGGCTTGTAAATTGGCTGCATCGGGGCGGGAAGCGGACCTATCCACGGCAACGTTTCTGGCCATTGACTGGTGGTACCACAGCTCAGCGGCTTGCCGCTCCGAGGTGTCGCGCATCTTGCGCATCAGCTTCTCCCCATATCGGGACGCATATTCCTCCTTTCTGGCTCTGCCTGCCCGGGAGGTCATTGATGAACTCTCGGCAGTAGCGTTCGACGTGGCGATTACCGAGATCGAAGCCCTCGCGACGTCGTCCGGCGTCCCGAACTATGTCTCCTGGGGCGCGGACCAGGATGATATCGCAACTTCCTTTGGCATCGGTGTCACAATTGAATGCACAGGCTGATGGGTCGTCGGGAAACCGAAGAATGGTTCCACACTGATGGCGAGCTGGCGTTCAAGGAGGCCTCGACGACGCGGGGTAGTTTCACTCATTGTGCGGGATCTGATTGCTCCGCCTCCGCAGTAGTGATGCATGTAGAAGAAGGCGAGCAGGCCAAGAACAAGGACGCTGATGCCGCCGACTATACCTCCAGCTATCGCACCAGTGGGGCTTTTTGACGACTTTGATGAGGTAAGAGCCGGTATGGAAGAACTTGTAAAAAAACTCATTACACGCGAGGTGTTTGGCTCATAGGTGCGCGTCGAGGACTCAGAGTATGTGCTGGAACTAGTACTCGATATGCTGAAGGTCGACGAAGATATGACTTCAGGCTCCGTATCGTATCTGGAAAGATTGCGTGAGATTAACACCAAGTAGCGAATGATGCAGCAGGAGACGAACGTATATTGTGCCCAGTCAAACAGCGCGACGGAAGCATCGACGTCGTTCTGCAGTGTCATCACCAACGTGTGCTCCCGGTTCTCCATCGATGTGTTGCTGTACACAGTGACATTGTAGGACATATAATCGTCGGATTGGTGGGAAAACGCTCCGACGTAGTCGCCATCCAGTTCCAAGGTCAGGCTCACGAAAGTCGTAATGTGCTTCTGGGAGTTTGGGATGATGCAATACACCCAGATTGCGGTACCTTTGGTTCATCAGCACAAGTATCTTGCCAAGACGTATTGAAAGTGGAGTATATACCATTAAACATCAGAGTGACATTGTGAGGTTGATCCCCCGGATGTATCGTGGTGTCATGCCAAGTCTGGTCGAATGTCTTATCCTTTTCCGGTTGTATAGCACACCCAGGACATTGAGGCCCATAATTCCAGCTTGGCTGGTAGATCGGCTGCAGACCTGAGACCGAGTCGCCATACTCGTCGTCAATCGTAAAATTGGTGGGTATGGGTGACCCAAGTCTTGCTGTCAGGATGAAGGCTAGGTAGATTATAAGAGACTTTCGCAGAGTAGGTGCACCGGAGCCCATCGTTGATCGACTTGCAGCGATAGCTTAGTGGTGTGCTGGGCACTGAGAGGAGAAAAGACCGAGGCAATAACTGTGTCATTCCATGTGTATGCGCCTATCAAGGGCGGGATGACATCTAACGAGGTGAGCGGGGAGTTCCAGTGGCAGCGATGACTAAAGTTTGCGCTGCACGCATTCATCGCGGCCACGACAAACGCCTGGTTTTCTACATAAGTTTTCTCCAGGGAAAGTAATCAAAGTGAAGGGCTTGCCTACATTCAAACTCTGCTCTGCTCGCGATCCTGTTTGCCCGGAATTGTCATGAAGCGAGCCATCAACAGAGATCTTACATCCGCTGATGATCCGTAAGCACCGCCTTTCGTAGTCAAATTAGTCCAAATCATGGCTATGCGCCGTGATTCTTAATTAGAAAAGAGCCGGGTAGCGGTCTGAGCCTCACTGATACCGCGTGGCGCGAACCTTCCTCGACACTGAGATGACTTAGGAGTTGGCATGCGGATGTCGGGCCTAGCAGCAAGACTTCTTAGGGCAGTGGCAGAGAATGACTTCACTGTTACAGACCTCCGCTTCCGGAGGACAGAGACCTTGTGGTGGTATGAGTATGAAAATCTCCGGAGGCCACAACGGGTGCTTGAAATCGACTCGGAGTGATTGCTTTTCCTGCTGACTACCGCCCGCGACAGCAGATTCCGGGAGGTCTGCACAGGCAGGACTGTGAATGAATCACTGTGCCAGAGAAGGCCGCACGCCGAAAGTATCACAGTACGCAGCTATGCACCTTTTTCTAAACCCCAAGCTGCATTGTGCTCCCAGACCTAATAGGACCAGCTATTTGAACGTTCCAGTGCGACTGCCTTCCCATGAACAGTCTATTCGACTGCAAACGGGAAACTACGTATATCACGATGTCATCAATCGATTTCAAGGACATGTTTGGTTTGCTGAAGCAGCGTCTGTATAGCGTGTGTGCCATATATCTAGCGCTCGGACTCGGACTCCTGCTTCTGGTTCTGTGGGGAAGACAAGTTGACCTCAGCCACCTTCAACCGATCTAATTCCATCTGCAAGGCGTCAATTTGCCTCTTCAGCTCTGCCGGACTGACATGCGCTCGTGCGGAGGGTGCGTCGTGAAGAGATGTAAAGATGGGCCCATCCCCGGCAACGCTGTCGGGTCCCATCTCTTGACGTTGCAGCTCAGCAGCGTCGTGTATCTGGCGCATCGACTCCTCATATCGAGCTGTGTGTTTCTCCTGTCTTGCCGGCTTTGCCTGAGAGGCTGTCAACACGCTCTGAGCGGAAGGGGTCCGTGTCGTCGTGGAGAGCATCGAACTCGGAGCGTCGGCTAAATCACTAGCCACCGGGTAGTGTGTAGTAGGAAAGTATGTGGTTGGGGATCTACAGACGGACGACTGTGTGATTGCTCCGGGCAGCATCGTCACGCTTGAGTGCAGGGACGCTGCTTTAGAGGTCGTGGAAAGGTCTAAAGTTGACCCCAGCTTGGCAGCAGATCCGCTTTCATCCAATCCCTGACCATGCGAATTCCCGTGAGTCATCTTGCGAACCCAGGCTGCCCCACGTCTGCGATGACACAGGAACAGAACGAGCAGGCCGAGCACAAGGGCGCCGAGACCGCCGCCGACACCTCCGGCTATCGCATTGACAGGTGTTCGTGACGAATCTGATGTACCGCTGGAGACCGGAACGGGTGTGGAAGATGAAGAGCTTGTTATAGTTGACGAGGTCGACTTATTTGCGGACGTCGATGGCATAGGGCGTGAGCTACCGGAACCAACTCTCGAGCTGCTGCTGGTCGACGAAGATCCTGATTCAGCATCGGGGCCCGGGTCATACCTGCAAAGACTGTTGAAGATCACCTCTTCGTGAGTGACGCGGCAGACGACATACGTGTATTGCGCCCAGTCAAAGAGCACCACAGAAGCATTCACGGCATGTTGCGGCGTCATGATCAAAGTGTGCTCCCGGTTGTCCATCGACGTATTACTGTATACGGTGACATTATATGCCATGGAGGCATTATTGAGCTCAGGCTCATGGGAGAACGTTTGAACATAGTCGCCGTCCAGTTCAAAGCTCAGATTGACGTAGGTCGTGATCGTGACGGTATCTACAAAGTTGGGGATGATGCAATACACCCAAATTGCGGTACCTGTAATACGCCAGTGAATTGTTTGTTTATGATAAATATAAGGAGTCGCATGTATACCATTGAAAGTGAGGGTGAAGTTGGCAACTGGATCTGTTGTTTGGGTCGTCGTGTCGTGCCAAGTCCGATCAAATACGAGTAACGTGTCGGGATGAATGCAGCACTCAGAGCAGCGAGGACCGTAATTCCAATTGCCCTGGTAGAGCGGTATAAGCCCTGTGACCGAGTCGCCATACTCGTCGTCGATTGTCCGATTTGTCGGTTTGGACGATGCGAGTCTCACTAGCAGGACGGAGACTATGCAGACGAGAAGAAATTGTCGCAGTCCGATTTCGGCGGAGCGCATTACTGCCCTATGCGCAGCAGCAGTGGGAAGTACGATCGACGGTTGTGATGAATATAAAGAGGACGGTCGCGACCGCATTTTATCCCCCCCCAGCCGTGCAACTATGCATCTCCCAACCACGCTGTGGTCGCTGATGAGATGAGCGAGGAGCTCGATGACGGCAAGATCTTGCATCATCGTAGCCGTGGCAAGTACATCTGAGCATGAATCAACTTCATCAAAAGCGTAACAGGAGAATGAACGTGGAGGGATCGCATACAGTCGAACAATGTTAGGCCGATCGCTAACAGCTTCAGATACATACAAAGGGAGCATCGTGGACTACCGATTCATGAAGTCTCTCTTGCATGCCCCCGTTTAGGATTGCTGCTGGATGCACAGACCTCGCGATGACATGGTGAGAATATTAGGCTCTTGAGTCGTTAGCTCATCGTGAATGGCAAAGACAGTCCCAATGACTTGTCCTAAAGGCGATGCTAAAAGCTGAGCCGAGCCAAGATGCATCAGGGATATGGCCGCTGGCGGGAGCAACGTACAAGATGCCCAGAAGGAGATCGCGGTCACGTGCTCAGAGCTTATCGCGTTCTCGCAGTGGCGGTGGCGGGCTGCAGGCTAAATCACACCAGTCCCATGTCCGAGTCACCGATATGCATTCGATCCTGCACATCTCCTCCTCCTTACACTCGTCTCAGCGTGGAAGATGTCTGATGCAGTGACTTTTGCGGCCTTTTTCTACGGCACACTCTTGCATCCTTCCATCCTTCGTCGTGTTATCGGACACGACGGCGACGAGCTACAAATTTGTTCTGCACTTTTACTTGTAGGTAGAATCGAGGTCGGATTTGGAAGAACTGACGGAATGATTTTCTTGTCCACAGGAGCATACGAGGCATCAGATCAAAGTTGAGGTCTTGACCATCTCTTGACCAACATTGGTGACTGATTGTGGCTTCGATAGCATGCAGACTATCCTGCCGTGATTCCGTACAGCAAGAGCCGTCAACTATTTGATCGTGACCTTTCTCCTGAGGAACGTACAGTCCGCGGGACTCTCGTCACGGGCCTCAGCAAATCTGATGTCCAGCTTCTGGACGTTTTTGAGGGAGACGTGAGCTGCTCGCTTCATTCCCCCCTTTGCCTGAAGTTCATGCGCACATACTCACATCCAGCAATATACACGAGAATCTGTTCCCGTGCATCCGCTCGGATCATTCATGTCGCTGCATGCCTCCATTTTCGACCCATCCGTCGCTCCGCTTACTGCACCTCCCTTGCCACCGCTCGACTCACTGTCTCCCGCCATTCCGGCGCAGACCTACATCTGGGCTCAGCCATTGTCCGATCTGTCCCCCTCAATCTGGGAGTACGCTGACTTCGTTCGCGAGAATGCGTGGAAGTGGGTCGGAGACGGTGCACGTGGGAACACAGATTACATCGAGGTGGATCGCAGGAGGGCGATGAATGGAAATACAGCTAGAAGGGAGGTTGTTGACATAGAGGGACAGGACAACAAGACTGAGAAGACCTTCATAGAGGTATCGAAGACCCCGGATTCGGTAGAGGTGTAGTTCATCGGGAAAATCAAGATTCCACTTATCTATGCTTGATGCACTTGATCGTGTGCTTTAAAATACCGAAAAGTCACGGCCGAGTGCACAAGTCATCCATACGGAACTCCACATAACTGAGGGACACAGCAGAGAAGGAGCCTTTCTTGGTTGATGAAGAACATCAAGATCGTGATCTTGCAGCAGACGTAACACTGGGATGTCCGTTAACTGAGGGTAACCCCCCTCTCCCCGGAGATTCTAGTATTAACGCAATCGTTCATAAGCTAGATATAACTGCGGACCGAGATATCATGAGAAGTCCATCAACGCAGCTCCATAGCTCGTCAAACGCATCACGCGCCCAACTTCTTGCACAACCCGGTCAGCAAATCCTCAATCCTCTGCTGTCTAGACTCGATATTACCCAACCGCGTCTCCCACACCGACATATCCGTGCCCTGCTCCTCTGCTTCCTCGGCCGTCTCCAGCGGCTCGCTGCCGGACTTCGCATCTGGGCTCGATGACAGTGGCTGCATGTGCTCCAGAATCGCCGGTTGCGAGGGAGGACTGAAAGTCGGGAAGCGCCTGAATGCCGTCTGCTGTGCAGAAGGGCTCGCATTGGGCACGGATTGCGGCGTCCCGAACGGCCTGCGCTGGATTGATGACAGGCGACGGCGCGACGCAGGGCCATAGCTGACCATCATGCTTCCAAGACCGTTATCTGACGGATGGCGGTCATGCAAGGTGTCGTCCTCCACTACCAGCGGCTGAAATACTTGAGCAAGAGGACTTGCTACGTCCCGTCCGAGCTCCTGGCCACGCGTGAGAAGGGTATTGACTCGCGCGCGTGGGAGAGGGATGGATGAAGGGCCTGGGGCGCGCTCGCTCTTGACCGGGGACCGCGTTGGAGTGGCTGAAGGTCCGGCGTTGACTGGTACCTTGAGCCGAGAGGATGTGGATAGACGGCGTTGGCGGCCAGGGCCTATCGCAGAGGTGTAGGCTCCTTGGTCATCATCGGACTCGAGATCGTTGTCCTCAACGTCTCCGAGCTCGAAGATCTGCGCAGATGAACATTGGACTGAGGCAGTCTAAGAACTAAGGACTCACGGCTTCGATATCGGCGTCAGGACCCGAAAGGCCCTCGAAGAATGCTGTTTTCAATGTCAGAGGGCGCATTCTCACTACATTGGAATTACCCACTCAGGCGCTTGATTGAACGAGGCAATGTGTCGAAGACTTTGTCCGCAGCCGCCGTGACTGTCTCATAGAACGTAAAAGTGCCAGTCCGCTTTGCTTGTCGTTCATACCACGCGATGAGCAGCAATATGGGGAAACTCGTGAGTCTATCACAATAGTGTCTTGTGAGGAACGTTACTGCATGAAGAAGGAGCCACGAATACCTGATCATGAAGACGTTGACCTTCCATTCGACTAGATCAATATCACCCTTTGAACAAAGAATGGATTGCCCGATGTACCTTGTGGAACCAACGAGGAGTAAGAATATAGCTTGCTGGTAGCATTATACACAATGCGACAAGATTGATTGGCGGCTGGTATGAGAAGAGCGGGTCCGCCTTGACGCTAGATAATCCGATGTAATTAATCAGTGAATGGACTTATCATTACCAACGAGGCCGTACCCCTCAATAGTCAAAACAGCACGACGGAACATGGCCTTGAGAAGCTCTGTCAGTCATCCTATCCACCTTGCATGCAAGGCAGTCTCACCTCAGCAGCGGCATCGTCGTTGATGGTGGCGAAGGTGTTTGATAGGATCTGTACACAGGATGGTCAACGACTGGTCAATGTTTGATGCGACAATCACGTACCGATACCAACACTGCACACGTTGGCGAACACAAGACACATGAACAATGGCAGCATCGTGACGTTGTTGGAACACGCACCGGTCAGCAACAGCGTGTTGCTCAAGCACGCGTACGAGACCAGCATCACTGGCCCAAACACGGGGTGGAATTCGGCTAAATTGCGTTTGTGAGACAGTTCGATCACAAACAGTCACAAGTAGACGTACAAGCGTTATCAAATCCGCTGGCATCAAGACCGAACCACAGGTCAAGCATCCACCATGCAATCTGTCTGTAAGCTGCGGTGTCAGTTTGGATGGCAATATTTTTTGATCTATACGTACCCTGCTGAGTATCTATGAAACGTTTATGTCAGAGACGTGCAATAAAACATGGCAAGCCACGTACCCGGCTTGATTTCTGCTAAGCCTGTAGAATCACTGAGGACAACAGGAACAAAACTCTGATGCATGAGTTGTGCACTCACGTCCAAAGAGCGTATAAGAACCCTCCGAAGCAGAACACGGCAATCAACATGAGAGCGACAAACTGCACGATCATCGCGCGCAGAGAGAGCACCATGACATTGTTCTTCAGCGTAACGAACGCCAGCCTATTCATTAATGTTTAGATAAGACATCGTGCGTCATCGGATAAACTGAATGCTCACCGAGGAAACATCAGGACCGCAATGACTGCTAGGAAGTCGACACCCGCGAGACTGGCCCGCGGTTCTGTCGCAAGTACGGCTTAGAGAGGGATAAATTTATAATGGAATGCTGACTCACTGTGGTGATATACGCCAACGAGCCTGAGAATGGCATATGTACAATACAGTGTGACTACACGATGGTTTGTGAGCTGAAGCACCGTGCCAGCCCGAGAAACAACATACTGAACGCTAGATCAAACCCATTCTACCGGGCCTATCAGCGTTGGCAACCGTGGCATGCGAATGTAATTAACAAACCCAAGTCCCTTTGAAATATACTAATAAATGCAAACGTCAGAAGCATAATGGTTGTTCCAGTCTCATTCTCTCACCTTTCATTCCATGCTCCTGCATGGCAGCGACCTTCTCAAGCGTGAATCCTAGTGCATACACCATGAATATAGCCTCGGGAACGTTGATATAATCTCGCTCGTTGAACTCCAAAGCGAATATGAACAAAATAAAGAGAACAAGAAAGCTAAGAACAACAATAAAAGCGGAAGAATCAGTTCGGATCTAATGTGGTAGTGCGAGTTCACACTAGCGTACTTCGTGAATTCGAGCACTGAGCGGATCGCGGGCACTTTGAGACTTTCAAACAGCACATTAGTCCCTCAATTCTGTGGAGGCAGAGAGCAATTTTGCAGATACATACCGATAGTGGTCAAGAAGTGGTGCTTTGTGCGGGTCATAGAAGTGTATCGGCGTTCGTTTGTAAGTCTGCCAGCGGTATTTGAGGGACTAGTAAGTATAGCATGGAATTGGGACAGATAGTCATGCAGCATCACATACATCCGAAAGGATCGAACGACTACTATCTGCCTGATACACAATCTTGCCACTATGATATTGCATAAGCTTATATGCTAGTGAAGGTCGATCTTTTTACCTCCAGATTCCATTGATGACCTTCTGGCATGCCGAGCTGCTGGTGAATCGTTTCGCTTGGCCCAAAATCGCCAGCTCAATCGCATTGCCGACACGTTCTTCCAGATCGTCGTCTCTCTGCTCCCGAGCTCGTTCCAGTAACCCTGGTGGCGCTCCAGAGTACACAGGCCAGCTCGTCGTAATAGCTAGTGCAAGCTCCAGCATGTTGTGTGCATGTTCGCGCAGGCATCGTATGGCGAGAATCTCACAGAGCATTGCGCGTGTTCGGGACAGTGCGGCAGTGGCGATGCGGTTGTCACGGTAAAAGTAGACGCGATTGAGCAAGAGACAAAACACAACAGATAGATTCCCACTGTGTTGGTAGGCATTGTACTTCTCTTCAAGTGGCCGGACCAGCGTATAAGTCAAGTCAGGTGCAGTCAACTAGCACGTTGTAAGAAGCTGCAGATGGATAAACAGCTCAACGTGCGCACCGCGTCATACGTTAGGGGAGTATCTATAATGCAGCAGCAGTTAAGCATTGATACTATGAACAACTTTCTCTCTCATACCGATGAAATGCTTCGAGATCATTCAACATGAAATGAGCAGGTTAAATACACCGGTGAATGGTATAGACGCTCACCATCACATCCTGTCCATCATGTAAGTTCTGAAGCTCGTCGCAAAAAAGACGAAACTCACTGATCTAATCACTTGGATGATTGGGTATACCTCGGTATCGGTATCATGAGCCTGAGGGCTCAGGAGCGGTTGGCGCTCTCCTATCGTTGCGGTCATCGTTTTTTTCCGGAGCCAAATTGTTATATCAATGTCCGACAGACGAGGCTATCCGTCCGCTTTGTCGCAGTTTTCAAAGAGCACTGGCCTAGCATCGATCACCGGCGCAAGCACGTTCGTCGCGGGCGAGGAGATGCGACGCCACCCAAAACCCGACGCGTTCATCTTCACTGGTGGTCACGTGGCTTACGCCACAGCAATAAAAAGCGCTCGAGGGTTCACGGAGTCAAGGCCGCGAAGTTCGAACTCAACTCTGTCCCTCCTCATCCTCATCCTCGGTCCGTACCTCATGATGCGGGAAATTTGGGGCCTCGCGTGCGTCGAGCTGAATGAAAGATTGCTTGAAAGGCTTTCGAGTTTCTGCTACTGGCCTGGTGGCGGCACTCATGCTGGGAAGTCCCATTTTGCTCGACTCATGATGCCACCATCGACCGCGTTGCCGACTGTTATCAACAGAGCTCACAAGATCGACTAGGATGCTCATGAAAAGGGGCGTCTTTGAGTCCACTCACTCTCGGATGCTCGCAATCTTGATGTGGCCGGCTCAATCGCATAGATCTGAAGTGTTATCATCTCGGGCACTTCGACAACCAGCGCATTGTCGATATGGGGTTTGGTTCTCCAGAAATTCCCCCTTCTCAAAGGTCCCGACGGCTGGACCGATGACGGAGAATAGGACTGGGACTTGTGTTCTGCATCAATTATTGAAGCTTGATAGCTAGAAGTTGGCCTCAATCTCCTTCGAGCGCTCGAAGTCCTGACCGCATGGCATCACACCCTTGGAGTAGGAATGTTCGTCGATGCACTACTTGTGGCCATTTTACTGTTCCTGTCATGCACGCACGCTCTGTATACATGAGAACGAGGAACTATTGGCTTGGTCACATTTCTGCCTAGACTTATCTCGCTACATGGATCTCTCTCACGGGCCAGAATCTAATGCAAACCCACTATTCTGTACCTGCCGATACCTGCGATATCGTTACACTTCTTATCTGGCGCTCATACATATAAGTATAAGACAAGCCCTGGGAGAAGTCTCGGGCCGCCGTCTGTCCCGTTTGGCCTATCGTGAACCCGTCACACGTCCAGTAGAAGATAGATAAAAGCCCCCGACGAGAATCCTGATTGCTTCGAGCTCCCAGCCCAGCTTGAGATCCTCGTCTTGTAAGAGAGCTCAGATACATCCACACGAACACTAAGATGGCCACAAAGGCGAACTCTGTACCTCATCCCACTCTCATCAAGGTTAGTCGCCTGCACGTGCAGATATGCAAGCGAATGTTCTGATCTGGTCCTTCGCGAATGATTGCCCATGTCGCTGTTAGGTGGACCCTTTCATGTACGTCCTAATTTAGGAAAGCGACCGGTTCGCAGACGTTCACACTTGTTCATCCGATGCTATTCTAGCCCTGCTAACCAGCAGAAGGTGAGCAATGACGATCGATAGAGATATCTCATAACTAACTAATGACGATCAGGGCATCCACAACCGTTGGCAGTGGGTACCCCCTCCGAATGGTGCTACTGATTCATCTTGAGAATTGAGCACGGTCCTCTTGCAGCCCCGGTATCCCCGCATTCGCGACCGTGAAGCCCGGCGAAGTGTTCAAGATCGAGTGCGTAGGTGAGACCTTTCGTTCATTGGTCACTACGGTGCATGGACTTACGTATGATGGCAGACTGGACTGGTGCTCAGATCGGCAACAATGACTGTATGCACATCACGGTCTTGTCTTACTGTTTTCCTCGGCAACGAAATCTATAGACAGCGACGACGTCAAGAATATCGACCTTACAAGAATTCACAACCTGTCGGGACCCATAGCTGTTGAGGGTGCAGAGCCTGGTGATTGTCTCGTCGTGGATATTCTCGATGGTAATGCTTCGCCCTTGGGTTATAAGTCTGATAATGATCTTAACGCGCGTTTAACATTCAGTGACACCTTTCGAGAAGATGCCATGGGGATACACTGTGCGTATCATGTTGTGCCGCGGTAATATTACTTTGAATCGACTGTCAGCTTGAGTAGGGAATTTTCGAACTTGAGAACGGTGGAGGTCTCTTTGGTAAGATCTAACTAGCATCATAAACTGTTTATCGTGCTCATCAAACTGCAGCACGCGAATTCAAGAGCAAGGCTGCTAAGGCGATCTGGGACTTCAAGGGTCAGTATCAACTACTGTCGCTCTACGATCCTCCGGATCTCATGCCTGTTCGCATAGGTGTCTATGCGACATCCCGCCACATCCCTGGCGTGCGCTTTGCAGGCGTCTCGCACCCGGGCCTGATCGGCACTGCTCCATCAGTAGAGCTTCTCGCGACATGGAACAAGCGCGAGGGCGAACTGGTGGCGGCGAACAAGGACGCGGTCCCACCCGTGGCGTTGCTCCCCGAATCGAAGGGGGCGTACGTCGGACAGGATCTGCCCGACAATCTCAGGGCGAAGATTTACAGGGAGGGCGCGAGGACCATACCGGGAAGGGAGCATGGTGGAAACTGTGATGTAAGAATGATTACAATGTGTGAGCCGCTCACGCTGATGGTGCTGTTCACTCTTTCAGATCAAGAATCTGTCGAGGTGCGTGAGCTGCAAGTCTCCTGCGTTGGACGGTGAAGCTGACAGACAGTCGTTAGGGGCTCGCGGTGCTACTTCCCAGTGTTTGTGAACGGCGCGAATCTTTCTGTTGGTGACCTCCACTTCTCTCAGGGTGACGTGAGTGTCTTCGTCTTTCCAATGTTCGCATCATTCTTATTGATGATGGCTTTGCGGCATAGGGTGAAGTAAGTGTGTTGTTTTCAAGACCATGAGCCACGCTTATCGCATGCACTTAGATTTCTTTCTGTGGAGCAATTGAGATGGTACGTGGCATCGCAGAACAATTTAACAGGATTGTCACAAATGTCGGTCATATGAAGGCCGGCATCATCACGTTCAGTACAAGCATCATCAAGGGCGGTGTCGAGAAGTTCGCTATGAAGCAGCCCATCTTCCTGGTGTGGTGCATGACATCAAATGCTGGGCTGCCTGGCTTATCATCGTATTCGCTAGCCTTCTCCAGTTGACCCTCTGTACTCAGCAAAGGTACGGTTCACGTCACCAGCTGCTTGGCCATGACTACTATTGATATTCGCACTAGCTCATCTTTGAAGGAATCAGCGTCGACTATCGTACGTGACCACGTACAACTGTTTGCATCGTGATAACTCAATCGTTCATGCAGATGGAGATGGCAAGCAATACGATATGGATGCGTGAGTATCATGCTTAAAGTACAAGCTCAGCAAAAATATGACACTTCGAACACAGGACCGTCGCGTACAAGCAAGCAGCACTTAACGCCATTGCGTACCTGATGAAGGTAGGCCTCTTCTCTATATTTCTGTAGACCTCGTCGGATTTATCGCTCCTCTCGCAGATCGGATACAGTGCGTATATGCAGCTCTGATAACAAGCGACGTGTTGACCAGTGACCGCTTCACTAAAGCTCGAGAACAAGCATGTCAGTACTCATATGATAACCACCGGCTGTGAATGCTGAATGTTGTGTACAGACTTGCTGCTCTCCGCAGCGCCTGTGGAATCTCACGTCGGTGCTATTGTCGTACGTCTGCTGGCTCATATCATGCTTTCAAATTATCACTCACCACCACGATGATCCGCAGGACTCCCCGAATGCTTGTGTAACGCTCGCACTGCCCTTGGGAATCTTTGAACACGTGCGTGCAAGCATCTTAGGTACGAATAATATGCTGAAGTCATTACTACGCAGGACATTTTGCCGAAGGAAGAAGGGCTCACGAAGAAAGATTTCGGCCAATGTGCGATCCGCAGCGATGGTGTTGTTTAGGCAATGATGAAAACAATGGATCGCATCAATGTATTTGTGAAGGAGCTTGCGTACGTTGGCGTAGAATATCTCATGAACGATGCTTTTTTGTTGTGTTTATCGTCGGAACATCATGGAACGCCCACCTATGGTTCGTCAGTTGACTATTCGATATCAATAATTGCATATATATGTTCGTACTCTGTCCGAGTGCACAGGTAGATGCCTGCGACACATCCGAGACAACTCGGTGCACCGCATGGCCTCACTAAATATGACGCCGTTTTACAGCTCATTCGAAGATTGCGGCCACGCAGGGTGGCAGGTCGCTGGGAAGAAGAGCTGCAAATGACGATGGGTCGAAAAGTCGAGCTGCTCCGAGTGTTTGCAAACATCGCCAAGTTGTAACTTCAACGCCACTCAGTGTAGCGGCATCCGATCTATTTCCAGGCTCCGCTTCGGAGTTGCCGGAGTCCCTGCTGTGGTGACCTTGATGTCAATAGTGCTTCAGGCAATCCTCCGACTCGCAATAAAAAAAATTGACCTCCAACTAGCATCAGGATCGAGCCACAAGACCTGCGGGACCGACACAAGACTAATGCAGTCGCCGCCAAGTTAGTACTCCGATTGCCTGTAATGGCTGCATGTATGTACGTTTGTGGGTCCGCTTTCTCCACGTTCCTACCAGCGGCAATCATTGCCAATCAGTTGCTGCCAGTACTTCATTGTTGTCACGGGTTTATCGACGATCCATGTGTCGTCCAGCCCTTGACCACGCCTCACATACCCAACCATGAGCCAACCTCCTAGTCCGTCAAAGGGTGAAGATCGCGACTCGAACGAGCGATATCTCTCTCGCCATGGAGAAGGAGTGACGCTAGTGAAAGAAATCCGGAATTGTTGCGCTAATATCATTGTACGCAGGGTCAGTGGCGTTTTCTTTGGAAAGCGCGGTGATTTACTCACCATGACGCGAACTGCAGAAGCAATGTCAGGAACTAGCAATGGATGTCTCCGCCCTTTTCGATGTGCTCAAGGATAATGTCGGATACCTAACTTCTGCGGAGTTGCAGCAGATGCTAGACGAGATAACCGCGTAGGCCTTTCGCAGAAAGATTCAATGCAGGCTGAACTGACCGTACTTTAACTTGGAACAGGATCCTCACTTCGGTCTATGCTCGTGTTCACGAATGGTCTCAATACGGATTCTTACAGGCATTTTGTAGGTGTTGCATGAGCGCATTTGCGCATGATCAGCTGAGCATTCGCGGTAGGGAGAAGCGGACAAGTCGGATATGGATTGGATCAATGTGAAAAGGAAGTTCGCACTGCTTTGAACAAATGGAAGGTACGCGCTGGGCATACATAATGTTGCGTTCCAAATGACGAAGGTCATATAAGATGTCTGCTGCTATTTCACTCAACAACACACGCAATCCATTGGTTCTCATCGTGATGCAAGATCCGGAAGAGTGGCCAAAGTATATTGCGGGGCACAGAGCAGAACTCTTCAAATTCACTAAACAGTTTCTACGAAAGCGACCTCTCGTGGAAGAAGCCATAGAATTGCATAAGCTGGGTCATCCAGCAGCGGAGCGGATGATGGAGCTCAGCCAATTGGTAAGTCGTTACCAAGGCCGCGGAATTTTCGAGTTTTCTCATAAATGTTATTGGCAGCTCCTTCAACTACCCATCCAATCTTCCAATGCTGGACGAGCCGCGATTGAATATTTGACACAGGAAGACTATGACTCATATAGAGATAGGCTGGTCAGGTTCCAGCATCTCACAGGCATCCCACCGACCATCAAGCTGCTTAATGGGCAAATCGAGAAGCTCGGTGATGAGCCCATAGAATGGGGTAGCTATAGCCAGCTATGGAATGGTCGCTGGCTTGGCCGTATCAAGGTTGGTCGTGAAGATATATCGGTCGGGCAGCATGTACACTCACATATTGCAGGTTGCTCTCAAGGTCAACGGAATCGAGGCATTGCCCAGCGTGAAAGTTGTCAGCTGATTTCCATTATGAGGCGATCGATTTAACCTCATTTTCGTCCACAGCGGTTTGACAGAGAGATGGCGGTTTGGTCAAAGCTGAAACATCACAATGTCCTTCCTTTCTACGGCATAGCGACGGACCTGGGTCCCCTCGTTCACATAGTTAGTATCCTCTATAATCGCTCGTGACTTGCATTGGACAGGCTCTATAGGTCACACCGTGGTGCTACAGGGGAAATGTTCTTCAGTACGTGAATTAACGCTAACAGGGGGTGCGCTGCTTAGTCGCTCTTCAGATTCACTGAAAACAATTCGGGAATTGACAAGACACGTCTTGTGAGCAGTTTCATCAGCAACTTGCTTCTCTGAGATTCTCACTAAGCTGTCAGCTTCTGGGCGCCGCTCGAGGACTTCAACGTCTACATGCAGAAAATGTAATTCATGGAAATGGTCAGCGTTACCGGGAGTTTCGCTTCTATCGAGCTGCTAACAGTCATTCATTGTGTCGACAGTGAGATGCGTAAGTGCCATATTATCTCTATACTTTGCGATGATTTCAATCCGATATGGCAGACGAACATCCTGGTCACCGACGAGGTTCGTCAGAAGTCTGATCGATTATTTCTGCGCTCACTTGTGTCATCGTTAGGGTGAAGCCTGCATCTGCGACTATGGCATGCTGCCTATTTACGCTGAGATCACAAGTAAAAGTCCTTCAGATGTATTGATGCAAGCCGGCTATACGCGTTGGATGGCTCCTGAACTAGCCGTTGGTGCTACGTTACTAGGTCCTAACACTGCCTGTGACGTTTGGTCATTCGGAATGGCAGCGCTAGAATGTTACACAAGCCATCCTCCGTATGCCGAGATCCAGTCGGATGGGCTCGTTACGAAAGCTCTCTATAGCAGAGAACATCCCGACAGGCCGCAGGATATGATGGCAATAACAGATGGAGTCTGGGAGGTTCTGGTTAGTTGCTGGCAGAAGAAGCCTGGAGATCGCCCGACGATGGATGAAGTAGTGTCCCACTTTTATCAGATCGTGCAGGCGATGCCCGATTAGGTCGCGGCGAATCAGTCATTATATGCAGTGTTGGATTTGTGGACTTCTGGTTGAGATGAAGTAGCGGCCCTAAATGACAAGGCGGATGAACGGGTAGGCGACAGTAAGGTCTTGTTACATAGGCACACACAGAGTATTTTTTTTGCTTGATACGACTGTATATGTCCTATACATGTCATACACTGCATGACAGATTGACGGCCAAAAGTCTGATTTATTCCTTCACCAAATGTTCCCTCGTAGGGTCCTGCATCTGTTTCGGCTAATAAAGGGAGAGTGAAGATCCAGTTTCAGTTCAAAAATATGGAGACAGTCTAACGCGCCACTAAGATGATGAATTAGTCGGTTTCACTGCCAACGTTGTCGATGGTGCTAGAGCATGCCACACCTGAAGCCTAATAATGCTTGAGCTTGCTGTACTCCTGTTCAGAGGCATTGACCCTTGTATTAGAGAGCTCGTTAATGCTTGTCCAGATTCGTGACACTGAGAACAAACGTACAGTGTTTGTATGCTGCAAACAGTCATATTCAGGTCGGTCTCTGTTTTACCATGACCTATTAGGATAGTTAGCGATCACATTGTGCATGGATAAATATTGAAGAGGGATTGAGACGAACTATCGTGCATGGGTACCGATGCTATGTTATTTGTATGCGTAGCGAAAGCGTGCTCGAAATTTTTGCCGCGCGAACAAACGTTTCCATCCGTAGAAGGCGAATATTGTCGCTGAGTCGTGGTCGACTCTACACGCACTGTATTTTGCACAGTGTCCCGCATGCGTCGTATATCAGAGTAGGGCAATTGCCGCAGTTGTTTGAGAAGGCATCCAGCCACGTCTGATTGAAGATAGACTTCATCCGGTCTGCGACGCTCTCGCAATTTCACAAATAATGACAGTAGTAGAACGATTGCTGTGCCATGTAAGTGCCTTATGTCATGCGCTGCGAGAAGTGAGCTCACCTTCGCACCCTGCAGAGAAGGAGGCACTGAAGGATTTAACACAAAACAACATGTCTCGGACACTGCCTGGAATATTGCCACCCATCGACACATCAGTGGCAGCCAGAAGTTCCAGTAATCGGAGAAAAATCGAGGCGTCATCCGGAGGAATGGAACGGAGTAAACGTTTCAGGCACCCTAAAATGTTTGACAGCACTGGATCAGAGGGATTGGCATCGACTGGTCGTGACTTGACAACATCAGAGAGCATATCGATCGCTGTGTCACCTAGAGACGAACATTCGGATGCAACTGCAGAGGTATCAGCGACTGCGCTAGTTTGTGAACAGAAGAGGACATACGCTCTTCTCCATACCGAAAACGTTGTACATGTTGAGTGAGAAGCTGCAGTAACTGAAGACGATGTTCTGATGACATAGCGAGAGTTCTATAGTATTCACTGAGGGTGTCGTATAACGATCGCTCGCCCGGCTGTAGGGAGCTAAGTTGTCCTTGCAGGACGGCCGTAATTCGGAGACGTTTTGAAGATAGCGGTGTCGGACTGAACTTGCTGGAACGCGTCAAGCGTTCGTTGGATTCGAACCTTAAGACTTCTTTGGAGTGCAGATTCGAGAGAACGTTGATAGCCATATAACCGACAGAGATTGTGGATCTGACGTCCTATGGTCATGTGAACAATAGTACGTTAATAAGACGAGCGTTGGATGTACAGCATTTCGCAAACCCACCTGTTTGTTGACATAGTGCTCGAAGATCGGCAGAGCAATCTCCAAAGGCAAAAGTTTGAGGAAGTGCTGCAGTACTCTGTCCAGGAAGTCTCCCTTCAACGTCTTATACACAGCATCCAGTACTACAACTGGATCGACGTTTGAAGCGATCTCGTTCAACTCAGACTCTTCCCTGTCTTCCCATGAAGGGAGACTGTCCGCTGACTTGTCCTCCACCGAGTACAATTCATCGACCGGCAAGATTTGTGAGGCGGCGACAGAACGCATATTCGCCCATGCCCGGCGAACCCATCGAAGACCTGTCGCGTATCTGCTCTTCCATATACGGAATACTTTGTAGAATCCACGAGACATCGGTGATTTGTAAGGGGAATGTCGGCTCAAGGATGGCGTGATAGCTGTGCCAAAAGCGAAGGACAGCAGGATGATCATCTGAGCCAGTATCGCGCACGCCACCGCAAGGCTGGTTTTCCAGAACTGCAGTACCAAACCAACGAGGAAAAGCATCAAGGCAAGTTGCAATAGTATCGGCATCAGATTCACTATATCTTCCACATGCCATTGGTCGAAGCCGGTGTGGCGAAGATACCAGGCAGTAACGCTCTGACGTGGGTTCACAGGCACGCCAGCAACATGGTTGTTGAGCCACTGTTTGATCGTGATTCCGATGGAGGCAGCCGCGAGACTTATCACCAGTGCAGAGAACCACAGCGTGTTTGTGGCGACATCAAGACGGGACACAGGCTCAGGGTAAGAAGCTGGATATCCAGATAACGTAGAATTGATGTGGCCGGAACTGATCGCGAAGCTGCTCAGCTGCGCTGAGATGTGCATGAGGATCTGAGCAGTCGAATCTGTCGGTTGGGGTTGTAGGCTCTTGTAGAACTCAACATTGAATGCAGTGACAACTGCAGAGAACAGACCGGCCTTGATATCAGGTTTAGTGAACCGCTCGAGCAATACTGGACATCAGGAGAAGGACTTACAAAGAGAAGGAGTGTGTCTATTCCTTCCTTCATGTCCTGTATGACATCTTTCTCATGCTTCCAGAGCTCGTCGGCACACCTGGCCCACGGAGTAGAGGCATCGAGTGCAGTGCCACTAGTTGTCTTCGGACGTGCGCTTTCCAACTGGGCCATGCCCTTGCGCACAGGATCGACAATTGGCTTCTCCGTGATGCGAGACTGTGCACGTTTCAGTTTTCCCCAGTCGTCGACAGTACTGTCGTTACGTTGTTTGTCGCTATCGTCTGCGAAGTAGCACGTTCATAATATTAGCTCTTCTGATGATGTACACAGCATGCTCGTACCTGTCCGATTGCGGGCACTGTAACGATTGTCTGGTGAAGCAGGCGGTTGAGCCGCGGAGTGCATGCGCTGAGCCTCAATGTCATCTACAGGCTAAAGCTCCTGTCAACGCCGCTAAAAACAGGGCCTCAGACCAGACCCACCGTGGTGTATGCTATGGCGTCCATGACAGAATGTGGAGAGGGAAAGAAAAGTGCTTCCTCACGGGGTGCTGCGTTGACATGTAGCGAAGACCGGACCATCTGATAAGGCGTCAAAGCAGACCATTACAATTTCCAGATAGTGCGTGGTGCCTGCCAGCCAACGAGAAGGCCTGCGGTTTCGCATGCAGGCACTTCGTACTGGCGGGATTCCAAATCACAATGGCCGTTATTCCTCGCTTGCAATCCGTCTCCATCACGGATCGTTGCCTAGAACCTCAAAGCGTTACACGTGTAAGGATTATCCGAGACTAGCGGACAATAGCTTGTTGTATCTCACCGTGCTGTTGGACATATGCCGCAGTGGCACCCCATGCTTCGGAACGGGCTAACAATTGACGACGATACAAGCAGAGCTGCTGTGTCATCAAACTCATTTGCAAGACGACACGTCCAAGTCAAGGCGCATCGATAAGCGAGCTTTGATGCGGGTAACATGATGTTCAGGTCCCGACTGGAAACTCGAAAGCGAAGCGGTCTCACATAGTGGTCACGTGACAGATACCATAGTATATATGGCAGGTCTTCAAGTCGCTCAGAACAGCACAAGGACAAAGTTCTAATGCTTGATGACGGTACACTACGCTGCTGTCGACGCAAACTCTAGAGCGCGGGAGCGGTCGTATGCAGACCAAGGCCCAGTTCGTACCAACTGAGATCATAAGCCATCACATTTGGGGTTGTTTGGTATTGTGGGTCCATACCAAAACGCCCCCGAATCAACTGGCCGGTAATGCGCGGCAGCGCTGCCGTCACCATCTTAGGACTCGTGGCTTGCTTGCATTCGTTGTCGGCAACAAATAGCTGTATGATTCTCCAGGAATACCAGACATCGAAGGCTTGCACGTATCCGGAGGTCATCACGTAGCAATGGAAGTATTCTGTCAAAGCTGAGATCCGCCTTGATCAGTATTTGAATTGGGGATCTGTGCTTTCGTTCCCTTGGATCTCTGGTGGACAACACCATCAGCATCCACCTTGTACCGATAAGTGGAAGGCAGGAAAGTAGCACGGTCGATATATATCAGTACCGGTACCCTTGGACCCGTAGTCGGCTAAGCGTCAGACAGACACTCGCTCCTACTTCCCGGAATCTTGGACTCCACAAGCTGCAGGCCCTTATACAGCACACCTTTCTCTCGTTGCATTTTGTGCTAGAACGCCGAAGCAGACGGTAAGTTATCTGCCTGATATCCGTCATCCAATGCGCTTCAGTTAGTACATTCGCATCCATTCAACAACACACAGATTATCCTCCTTCGCAGGTATCTTCATGCTGTGTGTAAGTACGCTTTGAATGCACTGAACATAGTGCAGACACGAATAGCTCACCATATTCGTCGAGGATCGGCTCAACGTGCTCTCTACTACCACCCAAGGTTGCTCTCAATCTGTATTGGACAACATGCGCACTGCACTAGCAAATGGGAGGGATCAGTATGCTGGCCTCGAGACAGCCGTCACGGAGCTTCGAGCTGAAAAGGCAGGGGTTGATGAGTGGCTCGAGGAGCCGCGGCTGGTCATCAACACTCAGGGGGTGTTGTCGACGGATCACGTTCACTGCAAGGGGCTGGAAGCTCCGGTATTCGCACTCGAAGGATTCCGCCAACAGCTACCACAGGAGCAAGCGGTCCATGCAGACAAGCATCGCGTGACGGACTCGGTGCAGCTCTCTGCGGCTTTATCCCATGGTTTTGCTGTGCATGCTATCTTCTGTTGGCGATGATGTGACCGTCAATTGCTCATGGACACCTTTGAGCTCGAGAACGGTGGAGGTCTCTTTTTATGTCCTGTCCATGCTGCTCGTGGAATCTCCGCACGCGAGTACAGGAGCGAGGCCGCCAATCCGGCCTGGGACTTCGAGAGTTGGCATCACCTGCACTCTTCATGGAATCTCCTTGACTTCACCGTCAAGAGAGTCACCGGTCATTCTCATACAGATGTCTACACCATATCGCGCTGCATCGCACCACATTGGTGGCGTGCGCTTCGCAGGCACCTCATACCAAGGCCTCATCGGTGTTATCCCATCAGCAGAGCTCCCTGCTTGGACATCGAATAGGCCTGCTCGACGATCTTGGGGTGAGAATCGACAGGGAGGGTGCGAGGGCCGTGCTCGGGAGGGAACATGACTGCGAGTAAGAGCAACGTCTTCCTGTGGCCTCCTGTTCATAATGGACAATCTCTAGACTCTTCAGTGATTCGCGGTGCTACTTCCCGATGTTTGTGAAGGCCAGCTTTTTTTGTATTGGAGACCTCCACTCCTTTCATGTTTATGTGAGTGTCTTGCCATTATTAGTTTCCACTTTGATTCGTGATCACTTTGTCAACATAGAGCGAAGTATGTAAGCACATTATTTTCAATATTATGAGCACAGGTTATCACATGCGCTTATACCTATTTCTGCAGAACGATCGATATGTATGTGGCGTCGCAGAACAATCTGATAGGACTATAACAAAGTCATTTGAAGGATAGTAGGATCACTTTCAATACAAGGGTCATCAAGGACGGTGTCAAGAAGTTCGCCATGAAGCAGCCTAGGAGTCTCTCAGTATGGTATACGAAATCAGATGCTAGACTTTGACTTTGTGACTCGTAAGCGCGTTCGCTAGCGTTCTCCAGTTGACCCTCAGTCCTCCGCAAAGGTATGGCCACCATCGTCATCCGCTTAGCTCCGGCTGTGATGAATGTCTCGCACCAGCTCCATTTTGAAGGAATCAGCGTGGATCATCGGACGTGATCATTGTTGATATAGACAGAGATGGCAAGCGATACGGTATGGGTGCGTGAATTGTTGGAATATCAAGCCTAGCTATACTTAAGTATGGACTTATCAGCTGGTATTTCCTTTTATGTACTTATCGGGCATTAGCGCCCGTAAGACTTTTCACCTGCTTCGCTTGTTCTGCGGGCTTCAGTCCTTCTATCATCAAGGAGCTGAAGCCTGTGAGTACCGATACTGTCCTGGATGAATGCAGCTTACATACTAATGTATCGTAGTTGACTCTAGGTACATACTACTAATATAGTCCTTCTATCATCAAGGAGCTGAAGCCTGTGAGTACGGATACTGTCCTGCATGAATGCAGCTTACATACTAATGTATCGTAGTTGACTCTAGGTACATACTACTAATATAGTCCTTCTATCATCAAGGAGCTGAAGCCTTTGACTCTAGCGTGTGTTCTCCCGTCCACTCCTTTTCCATCCCTTTACAGGTTATGAGCCCTGCCAGCCACTACGAGATGTCGCTCAGCAATCACGAATTGTCAGTCAGGATCCCCCGCCTTGCGGAAGATGGATCGAACTGGGTGCTCTATAAGGAGCAACTCAGGTCCGCCGTGATGGCGAAGAAGCTGGCGCGATATCTCGATGGCCATGACAAGGAGCCTACTGCACCCACGGCCCCAGGGGTGGATTCTGATGCAGACGAGGCATATGCGGATGCATACGACACATGGGCAGCCGGACATGAGGTGATCAAAATGCTTCTGTACCAGACGCTACCGGAAACGCTGAAACTCCGGATTATTCCCGAGAAGAAGGCGTCCGGAGCTTGGAAGATAGTCAACGCTGAGTATGACAATCGCGGTGACTTCGTCCAGGCTGAACTGCTCCGACGCATGCATGCTCTCTGCTGCACTGAGGAGAAGGACCCTCGACTGACCCTAGATAAGCTCCAGAAGCTTAAGGCTGAGTTCACAACAGCTGGCGGTGTTCTTGACGACAAGCAATACCGCGTGCTCATCATCAGCTGCCTCCCGGAGTCTTATCGCCCCATCGCACGCACCATCCTCTCAGCTGCTCACCTGGCTTCCATCCAGGCTACTGGCACCACCACAACTCCCACTCCCACCATCACATCTGACGAACTCTTACGCCAGATCTACTCAGTTGCATGCGACGAGTTCACCCTGGACGAGTCGCAGAGCACTGCGGAAGACTCCGCGCTCATGACGAGGTTGGGTGGCAAGGACGTGAGGAAGACGTGCAGCAATTGCAATAAGCCTGGCCATCTGAAAGCGGACTGCTGGGCGAAAGGTGGTGGAAAAGAGGGCCAAGGGCCACGGAGCAAGAACAGAGGAAGGAAGCATGACAAGGGCTCCGGGGGAGCCAGTGCGAATGCGGCAGCAACAGGGAATGACGAGGCATTCGCATTCGCCATTGCAACTGACTTTTCGAAGGTCGAGGGAGCGAAGCTCCTGAAGCTCACCAGAATTCTCGATTCTGGTGCAAGCCGACACTTCGATCCGGTATGCGTGAATTTCATCACCTTCTGGGAGACCGAGCACAAGCCGATCACTTCAGCCAACGGACGTATCTTCTATGCCACAGGCAAAGGCAATGTTTGCATCGACACTGTACACAAGGGAAGGAGCGTGAAGTTTACGCTACGTGATGTTCTCTACACACCGTCCATGCCCTTCACTCTCATCTCCATCAGCCACACTGCGAAGGCTGGCTACGCCATCCGTTTCGAGCGCGATGGGTGCCATGTCGTCTCCCCTCGAGGTACCACCATGTTTGTAGCCACCGAGCGCAACGGTCTGTACCCCCTACCTGGATCGCCGACCCCATCAGCACCCATGAAGAACACAGCGTTGACGACGACGCTGTCACTCACCGAGTTCCACCATCACATGGCACATGCCCATGCCCCTGTCCTCAAGAAAATGGTTGAGGCCAATATCGTCACCGGAGTGCGACTCAAGGACTCGACCACTGATTTCTGCGAACCATGCACAAAGGCAAAGCAGACTCGTGAGTCATTCCTGAAGGTGCGCTCGAGCCTGCAAGTGACCGCGTATGGTCAGCGCGTGCACACGGACGTATGGGGGAAGGCACCAGTGAAGTCCCTAGCAGGCAAGGAGTACTACATCTCCTTTATAGACGATTACTCAGATGAGGTGATCATCTGCCCTATTGCCCACAAAAGTGATGTCCTCACTCGTTACAAGGCCTACAGCTCGTGGACAAAAACTCACCGAGGTGTCAAGGCCATCAAGGAGCTGCAGAGCGATAATGGAGGGGAGTACATGAGTACAGAGTTCCAGACTTACCTGAAGAGCAAAGGTACGCACCATCGCCGGACTGTGCATGACTCCCCGCAGAAGAACGGCAAAGCCGAACGCATTAACCATATGCTTGCCGAGCACTCCCGCATGCTACTCTTCGACGTGGACCTCCCCAAATTCCTATGGGCTGAGTCCGCCATGCACACTGTGTGGCTTCGCAACTGCACGACGACGCACAGCACCCCTGGGTCGACCCTGCACGAATGCGCTACTGGCGAGAAACCCCATCTCGACCCCCTACTGTGTTTTGGATGCACTGTATGGGTGCGTGTTGATGCAGCCTCGAAGCTCAACCCGAAGTCGCATCCAGGCCACTGGGTTGGGTTCGATGCGCACAGCAAGGGCCACCGCATGTACTGGGCTGACAAGCGCAAGGTATCCGTCGAATGTGATGTGCATTTCGTCGAGGAAAACACACCCATCTCCGTCAACGTTCAGCCCGAGGGGGAGCCGAACAAGGCCAAAAGTGGCCAGAATGCGCCTACGGGCACTTCACTCCAACCTCCATTGACCTCCACATCAGCCACGACCATCGCGCCGTCCAACGCCATCCAACTGCCTGTGACCATCCCGAATGAGTCGACAAACGTGAACGCTGAGCCGCCGCAGCCAGAGAGCGTGGCGATCAAGCTGGAGAGCATGCCCGAGCCAGGAGCTGAACGTCCTAAACGTGTACGTCAGCCATCTCAATGGATACGTGACTTACAGTCAGGTACCGGCACCACTGGCAGACGCGGTGCACAGCGCGTTCCGAGGAGCATTCTCAAGCACACGAAGCTCATGCAGGATCAGCCGGAGGACAAGTCCGATGATGAGGGGGAGACCCTCTATGCTCTGGCGGCCATGGCTGGCGACACTCTGTTGTACCGCGAGGTGATGGCCAGGCCGGAATGCGAGCAATGGCGAGAGGCAATGCAGGAGGAGCTGGCGAAGATAGAGGTGATGGGAACCTACGAGCTAGTCAAGAAGCCGGGGAACGCGCACGTCGTTGAATCAGTATGGTCACTCCACAGGAAACACGACGAGAACAACGAGATCACGAAGTACAAGGCATGCCTGTGTGCGCAAGGGTTCTCACAGATCCCGGGCATCGACTTCGACCAGACAGCATCACCGACAGCGAGTCTTGTGTCACTACGACTTGCACTCATGCTCGCCGCTGCTAACGACTGGGAAATCCACCAGATAGACTTCAAAAACGCATATCTGAATGGCGAGCTTGACGAGACCATCTATATGAAACAGCCGTGTGGTTTCGAGGTTCCCGGACATGAAGACTATGTCTGGAGGCTCATCAAGGCACTGTACGGCCTCAAACAGGCTGGTCGACAGTGGTATATTCAGCTCTGTGAGCTGTTTGCTGGCTTGGGTCTAGAGTGCAGCAAACACGACTACGGTGTGTTTTTCGCCTTTGTTTCTAAGGTCATCATCATCATTGTTGTCCACGTCGATGACTGCACGCTCATCACCAACACGATGGCCACCATGACTGATCTGAAGCGGGAGCTCGCTGCACGATTTGAGATTGTTGACCTGGGCGAGGCGCACTGGCTTCTAGGCTTTGAGATTCACCGTGACTGTGCTGCCCGCACCATCTCGCTCTCACAAGCTGCGTATATTGACACTATACTCGATCGCTTCAGCATGACTGACGCCTATGCACTCATGGTCCCAATGGACCCCCACATTAACCTCTTCGGTATCGAGCTCTCAGACGAAGATTGCGCGCACATGGCTCACAAGCCATATGCAAGGCTCGTCGGGAGCCTTATGTATGCCGCTATCGGCACACGTCATGACATCGCATTCGCCACTTCAACACTGGCGTGCTTCATGGCTGACCCAGCGCCCATGCATTGGGAAGCTGCAAAACATGTGCTGCGCTATCTTAAAGGCACACATGACCTGGCCTTGACATTCGGTGCGACAACCGATGGTCTTATAGGTTACACTGACACCGACTGGGCCTCGCAAGCCCACCATCACTCGATCTCAGCGTACAGCTTCCTCTACTCTGGGGGAGCTGTCAGCTGGTCTTCACGCAAGCAGCCCCTTATCGCGCTGTCTTCCACGGAGGCCGAATACATTGCTGCATCTGACGCATCGCGCGAGCTGTTGTGGCTACACGCACTTCTCGCAGAACTCACCTCGCCTCTGGTGGAACCGACACCGTTACACGCCGACAATCAGAGCACAATCACGATCGCACAGAGTGGACTCCTTCATGCACGAATGAAGCATATCGACATTCGCTACCATTTCATTCGTGAGGTTATCGATATGGAACGCGCCATCATCTTGTATTGCCCGACCAACGACATGGTCGCTGACCTTCTTACCAAGGCGTTGACCCGCCAGAAGGTGGAGAAGTTCGCCGGAATGCTTGAACTTCACCTGGCTTGAGGGGGAGTGTTGGAATATCAAGCCTAGCTATACTTAAGTATGGACTTATCAGCTGGTATTTCCTTTTATGTACTTATCAGGCATTAGCGCC